GATTTTGGCACTTATTGAAACAAATAGCTTTTGAACATCTGAAATTACTCCTGAATATATTTTGATTACAGTGTGAGCATGGTAATAAAGGAGTCCCTTGAGAGATAGAAGATTTGGATTCAAATATTAATATTACTTGGCTGGGAACTGATTATCTCCCAAGCTAAAGCTGTTAAACAATTTCTCATTGATAAACTCTGCCAGCTTGTGGAAAGACTCAGCATTGGGGCTGCCCTGTATAAATGATAGTAGCAATAGTGGTTCCCAGACTGGTCAGTGACAATCTTCCTTTTAGCCTCCAACATGACGTTTGATTTTAATTGCAGATCCCTTATGTTTTATTGTTTCAGCTCCTTATCTTGATTCCCCTGAGTGTATATGATGTAACCTGCAGTTGCCAGTCCAGGCACTGCTCTTCATTTGAGGTAGCCTTGACACCAGTATCAGGTCCAATAACACAGGGATAGAAACCACACCTGCATATCCATTATATTCCATTGGCTCATGGAATTCAAGACGAGCTGGACCTACCACAAAAAAGCTGTTTCCTCCTTTTAAAGGACTTTGTTCTTTTCTGCACAAAGACAGAAGTCTTTCTCTCGATTTTGTGCATTGTAACAAATGCACAAAATGTCTTGTAGACATAGCCCTTGCTTATGGACGTAAATATCCTTTAGTTGTGTTCCACAAAAGCAAGTTTTAGAAATTAAGAAATTCTTGGGGCCCTGCTCCAGGCAATTGGTCATAAGCAGAGTAGAGAGATAACCACAAGTACAAAATCTACTCTATCATTGTTAATTCTGGCAGTTGTATCACAAGTGTTTTGATAATTGCATTTATTTTCTTTTCAATCCTACTTTTTGGGCCAAGATTTTTAATAAAACTCATGCTTTTTATTAAAAATTAAACATATTGTTACTGAAAAAAAGCTGCAAACGAGGGGCCATATGCTCTTGAAGTCTCCTTACTCATCACTGTCTCCCCAAAATCCACACTATCTTTTTTTAATTTCATAAATTTTAGAAGAATCTGATGATTTTTGAATCTTCAACACTGCTGAGTCTAATATTATTTAGGCTTTTAGAGCTTTAGGGATTTTTTGAATGCACTCAAACTCCAAAACAGTTTCCTCATTTGTAATGGAAGTTCATTAAAAAAAAAAATCCATTAACATTAATGAGGCACTTAAAAAAACTATAAGAAAATCTCTAAAAATGATGTAGCTGTTTTTCTCTTACTAGTCACTCAGTCACTGTTTATAGATATTCAATAAGATCCGTTTACAAAGCTGGAGTTAGAGCATGGAAGAATAACCAAAGCTGAACCTTGGCCTCTGTTCCTTCAGAATTGTCTCTAAAAGAAAAGCAAGCAAGCAAACAAACAAGCAAAACTATTTTAAAAGGAAAAATTTGCACTGTAGTTTCAAGAGCTTCCATCTCTCCACAAAAGTTGAATGGTTTATCAATTGTATTTTTCAGCTCCTTCACCATTCAGTGAAGACAAATATCCCTCTCACTTCCTAGACATTATAAGGAAATATTTTATAACCATAATGTAATGATTAGAGAACCCAAATCCTCATTTGGTATACTCTAATACAAAGTGAGTCTAATACACTCTGATACAACCAGCATGCATGATTGTTAGAAGGTCTGCAAAATTAGAGCACCCTGATCCTCTGGGTCACTTGTTTACCTGTTTATATTTATCCACCTCTTTATGTAGCATAGTGATGTTTATTGAATTCCTTGAGATTACTAACAGACATAAAGACAAGAACACAAAGAAAACTATGAAAGGTCTACAGCAGAGTTCAGAGTCAACTGAAATTTTTTTGCCTTTGAGAGACAAGGCATGCATATCTAATAGTAAAATTAGGACAGCCTAGCAAAATGAAATACATATAGGTATATGCATACAGTCTCATGATAATAATTAATTTGTCTTGTAAAGGGCAAGCACTGTAGAAAGTACTTTAAAAAAATTACTAACAACCTCAGACAGAGATTGCTGTCAAACAGAACTAACTGCAATACAGATCTGTAGCAGTAATTGATATAAACATTGACATTAATGTTGAGATAGTTAAATGGAAGAATTCAGCACCTCATAAACCTCTTTCCATGCAAAAATTGACCTTTCAAAGCTAATGACAGAGTTGCTTGTCTTTTCCATGGGAAGTTAGCATGCCCATCACTGCTTTTTCCCCAGTCTGCCAGAACAAACCTGTTTTCATCCTTATTCTATATACTTTTTAGGACAGTTTTATCTCATGATAATGATAAAACAATATAGAAATGAAACAGCTATTTCTTTAATCAATAAAATATCCTTTCTTGAGTCTTGTCTGAACAGTTTGTGCTAGAAATTGGCTAAGATAACCACAAATCAGTATAATAAAATGATGATGACCAGTTCCTTTGTAGAAAATGAAGCAATAAAGCGTTTTTGTTTTAGCATTATGTTTTTATTGATAGATACCATACTGAAGACCACACACGTTATCATTATATATGAGAAAAAACATAGCTGTTTCAACAGACAAAAAATAAAGTGCGATTGATTCATCGGCTCCTTTAAGAGCACTGGCATCTGGACCACATGCACTTCAAAGTCTAATGCTGTACTGAGATGTGCTGCTTTGAAGTACAGCTGCTGATCCAGACAAATTTTGGAGCCTAAACCAGCATATGAATCTGCTGTACTCAGAAAAAAATCTATTTCAGATGCCAGTTTTGACTCATTTTAGAAAATTGCTGTCTGGATCGGCTGAACTTCAAAGCAGAACATCGCAGTGCAGCATTTCCCTTTGAAGTGTAGCTAATCCAGATAGCTTTTTTTTTTTTCTTTTTTTTCCCTCCTCTTTTTTTAAAGTAGTTAAAATTGGCATCTGACCTTACTAGTATTTCTCCTCACTCTCTACACATTCTTCTTCCATTCTCCCTTATTTCCTTTTCTTCTGACCTCTGAGAAATACAGCAATACTTGTTATCTTGTTAGCTTCTGCGTTATCAAAGCTACTATAAAGAGGGTGGTTTGGGGAATAGCCTCTATCAAGTCACATAATAGGCAATGGCCAAATAATGCACATGGCTTGTCACAAAAATTTATTGATAAAGAATTCATAATTATGCTATCTAGGAAAAATAAAGCTGAAAATAAATTTATTGTAAATGCTTGTATTCAAAATATTAATAATCATGTTTCCACGGTTCTGGTAACTCATATTTGTCATTAGTACTAGCTTAAAAAGTAGATGAGCTTAATAGCAACTGAATTGAAAATAATAAAAATAAAAATAATGATTTTAAACTATATTGTCAGCAAAAGGTCTTTGGGGTCAAGTCAGGAAGGCCTCAAGGAAATGGTGTTACTGGGTAAGGAAGGAGATCACAGGCAGAGTTTGCATAGCTTCGGGGAAGGGGTCCAAGGGCAAATGCAGATCACTCATCAGGACAGGACAGAAAAGGAGCTAAGACCAGGTCAGGGCCTTCCTGCAGAGGCTGTTGACCACATTTGAAAGCAGCCTGGGGGAGAAACCTCAGCTTCCTTCCCCCAGTAAGATCAGCTGCTGTCAGTTCCACAATATAAGCAGAGCCAAGGGGAAGTGATTCCCCTCCAGAGAAGGGCAGAAAAGGCACTAAATTATTATTCTTTCTTAGCAAAGGAAAATCAGAAAATGTGTTCTTCACAATGAATCAAAATTATGGTGCTGGCCATTCAAATAACCACCTACTAAAAAGTCATGCACAGACTAACCTTATTCTCTGATAAACTGACCTGTCAAAAGGTTTTGATCTTCCTGATAGATACTGAGATCTCCTCACCCATTTTTGCAGGTGGCTCATTAAATCCTTGCTGGAACAAACCTCTGAGGAGAAGAAAATAGCTGAACATCCTCAGTACAAACTTGGCGGAACAGAAACATCTGGTTTTGTAAATAAAAACAAATCCTGGAAAAACGAGTAAACTCTAGCCCTGGACAGTATTTGTGTATTGCATTTGGAAGAGGCTTGTATTTCCTGAGTACCTTAAGTGCTGCCAAAGCCACATCAGCAGAGAAATTGTGGGAGCAGGGTCAGGAGCACATGAAGAGCCACCTGCCAGGCTGCTTTAGCCACACATGTGAGAAAGGGACACAGCTTTCCTAATCCCTCTGTACTCAGACCTCTGAAGTAGGCATCTTCCCCTTACCTCATAGATAATGGATGAAGGCAGCTGAAGTTTGTGAGGCTTGACAGGGAAGCCTGGGAGGAAATTACTTGTTGTTTCTCTCCTCCTAGAAGAGAGGGAAGGAAGCAGAATTTGTGTCCTTACACCAAAGAGTAATAGGAGAAAGTAACTGTGTATTTTTCATTGCAGTCAACTGAATGAAAAACTATCACGCATTTTAACATTACCATAGTCACAAGAAATCCAGATGAATGTTACAGGGGCACCCTTTATTCTGACAATTCCTGACTCCTGACTGGGTGACTTTGCCATCTCCAAGTTTGTTTTGTTGTGTGGTGTGTTTGTTTTTTTGGTTGGTTGGTTGGGGTTTTTTAGCAGTTCTGAGTACAGTAATGCACAAATACAGGATACTCTCATTTGCTACTAAATTAGAAGACAAATCATGAAAAACTGTGATATTCTGCTCAAACTGAAAAAAAAAAAAAAAAAAAGTGAAAGGAAAGAAAAAGCAAACAAGACAATATCAGTACAAGAGGACAATTTAGTGACAGCATCTCTCATTTGCTGAGAAATAACTTTGAGGAGAAGGACTGGACAATGACCAGCATTTTATTTACACAGGTCACAAGACACATCATTTGGGTGATCTGCTCTTGTCGCGGAGTCCTTAATTAGAAAATTCCTAGAGAGCTCCTGCTCCCAGTAGGTGCTTATTAAAACCTAAAGACAAGAGGAGTTAGTAGAAAAGCCTGAGGAATGGATGGAGAACTCAGGTTACACTACAAGGCAAGAGTCAGCTGCTCATAGCATAGGAAGAGGCACTCAGGATGGCATGTTGGATTTTGAATGAAAAACTCTCGGTCCTGTTATTAGTGAGTATTTTTAGTATTAAAAAGAAAAGAAAAAAATAATTGGATATATATAAATATTTTAAGCTTGTTTAAAAGACATTTTATGGTTTGCTTACAGTAATACTCCCAAGCTAAATGTAAAACTTGCTATAAAATATTCAGCAGCCTTTTTATAACTAGTCTTAAAAACAATTTAAAGTCTTACTGTTTTATTTTTAATTATTTCTAAGTCCATATACATTACTCCTCAGATAAAGGCAACTGGGGTTTGGAATTGTGATTCAATTATATTCTGTATCATTTTCAGAGGCTTTGGTGAATGCATGGGGGGCAGAGAAAGGAATTTCCTTAGCTCCTAACTCCCTCCATTTCTGGAATTCTTTAATTTTAGCTTTTATTGCCTTTTTGGAGACCAGACTAAGCTCTGTGTTTAAGATCAAGTTTACCACCACACAGTAAATGTCATCTATATCCTCTGTTGGGGATGTGGGGATAGGGCTATAATCCTGCATTTGCTAAGATAACCTCATTCCAGCAGGCATTTGTGATTTCTATCATGTGTGATCAAGAGCTGCATTGCACACTGATTTTGAAGTATCTCTCAGATACTTTTCAAACTATAACCATAACCAGTTTTATATGCATTAAAAATACTCTAAATGTCACTAATCTGCAGCCTGTCTGCTTTGTAGTTGGTGTGGCTGGGATTGAATTTATATTTGTTTATTGATACCTTCTATTGGTATGAAGACGAAGATGCTTACACTTATACACGGATTATGCTGGGAGTAAGTACTAATTTGATTGTTAAAGTGCTCCACAAGAAGAATGTATGCATAGTCTGATTTTATTCACAGTTTTCATGATAGTATTTTTTTGATGCTTCAACAGTAATTTTCACATATAAAAGTATTATGTTACTGTAGTATTTCCTTTTCGTTTTTTTTTTTTTTCTTACTGTACCAAACTTGTAATCTAATTTCTTTATAATGTTATATATACAGTCAACGCTGGCGTGGGCAAGAGCTTCTGCAACGTGCCTTAATTTTAACTGCATGCTAATCCTGTTACCAGTCAGCAGAAATCTTATTTCATTCTTAAGAGGAGCAAACATTGTAAGTACCATTTCTCATATAGACATATTATCCTCCCCTTTTTACTTCTGTAGTTCAGCAATATTGTCCATATCAAACAATTTCCAAGGAACTTTAATTTTTGATAGACAAGTTTGTACATTGTTGCCTAGCTATTACCATTTAAATTGTCAGTATTCATGACCGAGGAGAAACAAATGGCTTATTTAACACAGCACTGAATGCAACAGTGATTTTGGCAGCCACTGCATAGCATGGTGTCATGAAGTGAAAAGTGAGGAGCTACAAACATAAGAATGCAACTCGGACAAATGGAGACAATATGTATCCATCATGAGTATCCTGTGTAACTGCAAAGTGAAAATCAGTAAGAGGAAATGTACAGATAAATGTGTCACAAGGATAATAAGGAACATGTTTAAACCCTTTTGACTGAGTGGCCACCATTCAGGTCTTCCCTTCTTGTAAACATGAGTATTTGTAATTGAGTTGTCATCTGCTTAGAGGCATTTACATTAACCTCAGCATTACACATAGGAAATACTTATGGCTTTATCTCTACCTAGCTATAGCTTCAGCTTGCAGTGAACTATTACAGTCACAGCAATTCCAATACCACAAGTTTAGGTAAAAAATCACTGATCACTTCCTGACTCAAAGAACAATTGGAATTTAGAAATCATAGCATTAATTTATTCTACTGTAAGTATGTTATTATTTTCAGGTTTTTTATTTGTTTGTTTGTTTTTTTCTTCAGAGCGCTGTTACATTTCAAATGGTCTTTAGGGGTTGGGAATTCATACTGTTTTATAATTTTTTGAGTGTAAGAGCTGAGAATTTAAGAAAAAAAATCTTCCTGGACTTCAGTTTGTGAATTACAAAATATTTCCATGCTCACTTAAATGCTGTTTAAGAACTTGGAGAACTGGAACTCCTCTCACAGATGATTAAAATTTTGATTTTCTGAACAATATTCTGCCTTTGGTAGGAAGCAACTTGACTGGCTCCAGCACAGTCAGCTCAGGGCTTGATCCAATGACCTTCCAAAAGTCATTGCCATCCCACGTGCTCCAAATTTTTGGATGATTTGTTAGTTGGGAAGCAACGTGGATCAGGATCATACATATCAGGATCTTTGGCATGGAAATTTGCCAGGCCAAATGAGCAATCCAGACAGCCAGCACACACCTCAGAAGTTGAGTTAGGCCCGCCAGTGCTGTCCAGGCTCCAGCAGAGCATGTTAGCTTTGGCTCACTGCAGCCCACCCTGGCCCCAGGTGGGTTCTGTGCAGAGCCACCCAGCTACCCACCAGCATGCCAACATCCAGCACATCCTGTAATGGAAATACGCCTCAGTAATGAACAAGCATGCAAACACCCGAGGTCTAGACAGGCTCACCATCCTAGGGTCTGCATTTCCTGAAAGCAGCAACAATGCTTTCATTGTAAGTTCTGAGCTTGCAAGCAGTGGTGGCCCAGCCTAGTTATGCACGCAGCTAGGTCTTGTGTTTTTATGCCAACAAACGAGTTGTCAACCTAAATAAAACACATAAATGTCACACAGAAAAGCAGCAGAGTTTTGCCCAACCTGATTTTGAGCCCCTCATAGACTGAATAGTTTTAAGAAAACATGGAGTGTTACTAAGCTGAAAACACACACTTAAACCCCAAAGTTTGAATCAGAACTTCCACCAAATTCCTTCAACATTAGATTTTAAAATATACTGAACTCCTCTGTTCTCCTCTCCAGAATGTGAGTTGAAAGTAGTAATAGGAATGGTATAAAACAACTTTTGCTTTTTCACTAAGTGCTGTGGAGGAGCACTGAGGAGACAGCTTGACAAAAACATCATATTTCACAAGATGGTTGCCTATGGAATATCTGTAAATGCAAGTAAGCTTTCTTTATTTTACTTTGTTGTTCTTCTTTGCCTTTGAACTGTTTTGAATTTCACAGTGATTCTGTAGTCCCCATCTGCTCTGATGTGTGCTATTTTAGTGCAATCATTTGGTGACTGCAAATTTAAACAGGTGCTGGAGTCCCAGCTGATTAATGATTTGTAACCTTTTTTCTCTTTTTCTTTTCTTTTCTTTTCTTTTCTTTTCTTTTCTTTTCTTTTCTTTTCTTTTCTTTTCTTTTCTTTTCTTTTCTTTTCTTTTCTTTTCTTTTCTTTTCTTTTCTTTTCTTTTCTTTTCTTTTCTTTTCTTTTCTTTTCTTTTCTTTTCTTTTCTTTTCCAGGAGAAAAGTTTGATTACAAATAAACTTTCAATTTGGACAGTAACTACTAGCTGCCCTTTAGCTAATGCAACCAGCTTGTATGTTCTTAATATCTGGTGTAAGTAACTTACACTAAATCCCCATGAACAAATGTTTGGGTGGATGAAATTGCATTATAGTCTGAATTCCTAAGGAAATGGTGTTTAAAAGTCACATTGTTCATCTGTCCACTGCTGCATCCTCTTCTATAACTTTCCATTCAGGTAATTCATTTTGTCTGACTTTGAGGCAAGCAACTGTCTCAAAAATATTACATTCCTAAATATTTTTTTAAAATAGGTTACGGGTAAAGGGAACTCATTGCCCCTATGAAGCAAAACCTGTATTTTGAGATTTGAAGTTTTCTGTCCTGCTTGTTCTTGTGACTATTCATCTACAGATGTTCATTCACCTGGCTGGGAAGAAGACACAGTACTCTCCTGTTCCATAAATGGTTAAAATACCTGAACAGGACTGAAGTTTGGAGGAATTTAGACTGCATATGGGGAACAGGTGATAGCATGGGAAAGAGCAATATGCAGAGAAGAAAGAACAAATGGCAACGTAAGAAGGACATAAGCACATAGAGGTGGAGAGGTATTTAGGTCAGACAGCATTGTTGTCTTAGAAAAAGTGAAGAAGACATGGGAGTTAATCAGGATTATTTACAATCATAATACATTGGAGGGTAAAAGTTCTACCCCCGGGCTATCAGGTGGATCTTGGTCCCAATATTCTTTTCATTCTGTATTTAGGGGTTTCTTTCCTTTGCATATATGGACAGTCAATATCTCCATGTAGAGAGACAAGAGTCTGGCATCAGGATTGTTATCAGGAACCAACAGCTAAAATTTGGCCTTTGTATGCAGCATTAAAGAATTCGGAGGGGAAGGTTGGAGGATGAAAATGTGCATCCTATAGTACATTATGATGATTTACTTATCTGTCATGTCCATTCATCTATCAGAATTCAGTTTCGGCATATAGCAGATTCCTACAGAATGCAACATTGCTTCTCTAATTAACAAATCAACCCAGGAATGTAAATTAACCAGCTTCTACTTGGTGTATAATTTGTCATGCTCCAAAAAGAAAGCAAAACTGCACAGTCAAAGCCTTTATGTTCTGTGTGTGTGTGTGTGTGTGTGTGTGTTTGTTTGTTTGTTTGGTTTGGTTTTTACTTTGTTTTTTACATTCATATAAAAATGTTTGTTATTGCACTACGATGGACAGTTTTGGAAGTGTAAGTCTATCAGAAAGGTGATTACATTATAGCCTCAGTATTTCCAAGAAAAAACAATCCAGCAAACAAACAAAAACAACAACAACAAAACAGAGTTCATATAAAATGTCAGAAAACACCACTATTTAATTTAGTTACTCTCTAGAGAGAAATTGAATTAGTAGTTTTTGGTTGTTTTGTTTGTTTGTTTGCTTGCTTGCTTGTGTTATTTTTTTCCAAAATATAAAATGGACAAATAGTTGATGAGATAATTGAGGAAGAAAACCAAATACAGGGAAATTTGATGAAAAAAAAGACAACTCATGAACTCATGTTTCTCTAATGGATACGTTGAAAACAAGTATCTTGTCTGGGAAAACACCACATCATGACACCAAGACAGCCTTGGTTAAAGAATGACCAGAAGCTCAGATGTCCAAAATAAATTTCAAATCTATTAAAAATAATGATAATAATACTAAATCAATCTACATTAATAATAAATCAATCTATTGTGAAAGAAAACCAGCATTCCTTCTTTCAGAGAAAAGAGGTACCCACAAGTATATCGAGTCCCTTTTAAAAAAATGTAACAATATTAAATTGATGTATAAGTAGATGCAATTTTTTTCTCAGCTGACACATTATTTATCCAGGCACTACCAATATTGCCTTTTGTTAGACAGAAGCATAGTCAACTCCTATTAGACTATTGCAATTTAGTAATTCTTAGTTAAGTGAGTGTTCTACCCTGTATGATCAATAGCTTAAATGTGGCAGCAAGTTAAACCAATTTGCAGATCAGATCAGTAAGCTTATCCTCACAATATAAAATTGTAGACTTCTTTATTGTTAAAGTAACATGCATTCATCTCAGCTTGCCAGGTGGTGTTATTCCAGCATATTTATTCAATAGTGTGCTAAAAATAGTCAGCATGACGTTAGTATTGTCTGGCTTCTAGCAGTCAGCCAGCTCAGCTGAGGTGTGCGTGGCCTTGGAAAAAGTACATCTGTATCTTTAATTTTTCATCAACTCTAATACAAAGTCAAGATCGGGCTTTAATTGGTCAGGTCATAAAGGGATATAATTGGAGACTAGTGGAAGAGGAAAGTTGGAGGGAAGAGAGGGTAAACAATGCTATCTATAATCAAGGGCATCGTTGAAAATTCAGTAAAGGGAATTCTGCTTAGTTTGGCTTCCTGCATCCTGCATGCCTGTCTATGATAAGAGCTGTCTGGGAGTTATTCACCCACTAATAAATCTTCCTTATGGACCTGTAATTCTGCTAGAATAAAATCATTGTTTCATGCACTCAGTCTGATGAGTGCAAATCATTCTGTACTTTCTAATTCAAAAAGGGATTTTGCGGTTGAGAGACAACAAACTGAACCTAAAGATATCTACAAGAGATAGTAAATAACATTTTGTACAACTCCTTTTTCTCACTGTTTTGTCACTGTCATAAGAAAGTATACTTATACATTTTATGAAGCCAGCACTGTTGGGGGAACTTTTTTTTTTTTACTTTGGCATACAGTGCATGTTTTGAAGAACAATCCATTCCTTGTATTGTTTTGGTGCTTGGAGAAAGGTTATACAGATATATTGCTGCAACAGTGTTTGAATTATGAAACGAATAATGCTTAAGCAACTAAGGGAAAGTAGGGGAAGGACAGAAGGTTTCTTTGTAGTTTGTCTGTTTCAAATGGTGGTTCCTGTTCCTTAGAAATTCCCATAGTACATTTTTCTTTAAAAATCCGCTAAATGCAGACAGAAATACAGTGATACCAGATGTGTTTGTCTTCTGACAAGATCTTAACTATCTACAATTAAAAAATAAAAATAAATAGGAAACCTTTCAATTTTTAGCCATTGTTTGATAGTGATTCCTATGTGGAGGGCTCTGGTGATCTGAGTAATATTTTTTTGTGTAAACTAGGAAATTTTCAGGAAAATAGACTCTTATCTTCAAAGGAGGTTTAGCTGATATCTCAGTATTGTGCTTCCAGAAATTGCAGAAAATCAAATTTCCATTGTGTTGTTGTTGTTGTTGTTTTGTTTGTTTGTTTGTTTGTTTTCAGTCAGATTGTTTAGCTCTAGACCTAGTGCAAATACTAGGAAGAAAAATATACTAAAGATTATAAGCTTCCAGCTAAGATAAAAACCAGTCCAAGTCAAGCTCTCGTTTGATGTTTACAACCATTAAACAATAAAAATCTAATGCAAGTTCATGTGTGGTCACTCATGTACTTTTAACATAATCAATACTTTTTTGATCCACAAAGACAGCACAAAGCTGAATTAAATGTTGTCTGTAACCAGAAATGGCATAAGGCACTGAGTTTCAAAAGACTACAGTTTTGGTCAGGGGCAGAATTGCCTGTGCTTGTCTTAAGTTCCTGCAGAGCTGGTCTCTTCACTGTGGTCATAAAGGCCAGGATCTGACCCTTTGACCATGATGGGCTGGTTAACCAAAACATTTAACTGCTAGCAGCAAGCTTCATTTTGATTACTATCCTGTACAGGCATGCAGAAAATGACAGAGAGAAATGTTGTCCTCAGATAAACACATGCAATTTCTGTTTGGTTCAATGAGAGTTGTGCATGCTTCACTGAAGGCACAATTGGCTGAATAAGACTAGCTAAATTGACCAGACTTTCAAGATAATTTAATTACTTCTTTTTGTATTTAAGAATATGTACAGTAAACACCATGCTCTAATAGCAACACTTTCCCTCCCCCACTCTTTCCAATAAAACCTTTTATTTGATCTCAGAGGTGGACTGCATAGAACATCTCAGGGTCAAATACAAATTAATGCATGTTAAGTGCTTCAGAGGTTCCAGATGTTAAAAACAACAGTTGAAATCTTTCAGTCTTCATGCACAGATAAAAAAAAAAAAAAAAAACAAAAAAAACCCAAAGCTTTGTTTAAATGATTACATGATTTATTCTGTACTTTATAGTTAGTCATGCAGAATGTGGAAAACATTGAACTGAAAATCCTAAGATGTAGTACCTGACACTCTGCTCTCATGATTAGCTTATCTAAGCTGTGCAGGAAAAAAAAAATGCACACACACACACAAAGACAAAAAAAATGCTGTAAACTCAGATTTCAGAAATTTGCATATTAGTTTTGGAATTACTTGGTAATTTCTATACACTGCAGATGCAAAGGACCTTCAGAAAGTATACTTTTGGGAAGTAAAATATTTTAGTTAATGGCAATGCATTCAGTGCCAGATTTTTTAGTCTGTTACAATTATTGTATACTAAATGAACCACATTGAAAATGGAATTAGATCTTCGCATTACTCTTACCATTCAACTATAATTCACTTTTAGACTGAATCATTTTTTCCTAGCAGCACAAAAAAACAACACCAGAAATATTAATCTAATGACACTCAAGGCAAAATTTAAGATCATGTATGATTGAAGTAAACCAATATATTCAGTACATTAGCTTGAATATTAATATTTTTCATTATATCATTATATTCTATACATCAATAGCTTCTACAGAATACATGTAGGTTGCAGACAAGGCTTATCCTGTTCATTCCATAAGTCTTCCACACTTGCAATACCCTCTACCTGACAGATGAAAGTTTGAGAGAATATTCCTCAGAAGGGAAATGGGGTAAGTCCCTAAGAAGAGTGTAGGATGATGTTTTCATTGACAGTAAAGCAGAACAATATGCAGCTGGGAAAAAGAAAAAAAAAAAAAAAAAAGAAAAAAAGAAAAAATAATAATAAAAAAGTAAAACTGTGTCTTTTAATAGCCTACAGAAATATTGTACTAGGTTAAGGAGCAGATAACAGATTTCTTCTTCCAGGGATAAGTCACAACACGATTAACTTTCCATATATCTTAGGTAAAGACCTTCTTGGGAAGTGATATCTATTCAGACCACAGGATTTTATTATTTATTTATATAAATAAATAAAATTATTTTGTGCAGGATTACAAATACTTTGTTAAGAAGCATGGACCTCTATTGTTCAGGAAGAAAGTACCACTTCATCTCACTTTAGGCACTCAACATGTAGTAGGTAACACAGAGTTTTCTGTCTCTGTTGATGTGACTAGACATCACTGCAGTTTGAGGAAAGTGCACAATTTGGCAGCTTTTTAAACAACAGAAATGTGTTCATTTTGCATGAAGACTTCACAATGTGCAATATCCATTCTTCATAGATTTAGATATTTTGAAGGCAAAAGAAAATATATCATATTATGAACACAGATTCAAACCTCCAAATCTAGTCAATAATTCTATTCTGAAGTGAACAAGTCCAAAACCTGCAGTTTATTTGCTGCAGGGAGCCCTTGGAAAGACAATGCTTTGGATCACAACTGTGTGAAATTCATGTTGTCTCAAGGCTGTGGTGACTATTTACACTATGCCAGAGTTATAAAGCCCATCCTGCAGGAACAGGGAACAAGAAGTACAAGTACCATTACTGATTCCTCCACTAATCACTTGCAGATGCCAAGATAAAACTCCTCTATGGAAGTCCACTCAGAGATTCACTGTCAGGGCTTCCCAACCTTGGAATTTTTTTCTACTCCTTACCATTGTCAGGTACAAGACTACAAGCAGCATAGAACTCCACAACTTCAATCCCACCTTCCAAGTGAGCTTTTTCAGATGTCAGAGAAATCAGGTCTGCATCAAGCAATGAATTGGTTCCCTTCCAGCTGGATCTGATAACATCCTTACCAGGCCAAAACATCTGTTCAGAAAGGAGCTCCACGTAGGAACAACTCCTTCCTCCCCACTCTGCATTTAAAAATGTTGTTACGCTTAAATACATAAACAATGTTTATATACTGCTTATATATCAGTTGTACTCTTGGGAACAGATTGCCACAGCCCCCACACAGCTGCCACCTAAACCCTGCAGCTTGGAGCCTCTCAGGCATTTGGGTTCTGACAGTCTGCATCCGCACGTCTCCCTCCCTGTTTGTGGTCTCATGCAATCTTCCAGCATACTGAGGGCATGGCTGCAGCAAGCACCTCAAGCCTGGTGGTGGCCAGGCTGTTTTACATGCAATGCCTAATACATAATGATGTACACAGGACATGCTGGGTCACCAAGCCCAATACCCTTTAATGCTGGTAGTCACGTCACATACTTTATTTTATAAAATGAGCCTAAAAGCTGCTTAGATTGCTTGATCCCATTATCCAGTTTATTGAAAGGTTATTTTAGAGTTTCATTCCTGTGATGGCTTGAACTTGTCTTCTAATTTCCAGTCTCATTTTATATCTGTGCAGTTTACACCTTTTCGGATTCAGTCTACACACTGCTGAAGCTATTCTAGTTTGTGTGAATTCATTATTCATTGGAACAAAGATTCAGAAAAAAATGGGGGCTTGATGTTGTATTGTGGATGCTCAGGATATTCATTTGGGATGACAATAAATAGGTGATTATTTTTATTAAGGGTTTCTTCAGAAATGGCTCACAAGAGAATAACCAGTGAACCTGGTGACTAGGTGCTTTGGTTTAAGTTCCTACTCTTAGTTACATATAGGAAGGATTTAAAAGCAGGTCTTTCACTTAAACTAACATTCATTTTGTATGACACAACCTTTTGCATGACAACCTGACAGTCAATCAGAGTGTGTTTGGAGCAACCAGTGCTTTAGTGGATCCCATCAGAACAGAGTGTAAATAACCTCTCTCCAGCCTGGACAGATGCTGTTGGGAGGCAGAGTGCAATATTCCACCTTTTTGCACTAGATGCTTCAAGCACTTCCATGGCCAGCATCCTGCCTTAACTTGTATTCCCATGCCTGTAGCACTTTCCACATGTTGTGTAGGAGCTGCATAGGGAGTGAGAGAGCTCATTAAGTGAATAGGCATCTAAAAGAATTGCAATACAAAAGTCCTTATGCATTAAACCCTGTTTACAGCTATAATTACACAATGACTAGTGCAGTAAGGTATTACTTTTGTGCAAGGAGTAACGATTAAAAAGGGGGAAAGAACAAAAAAGGGAAAGGGAAAGGGAAAGGGAAAGGGAAAGGGAAAGGGAAAGGGAAAGGGAAAGGGAAAGGGAAAGGGAAAAGAAAAAAAAAAGAAAAAAAATACTATTTTAAGAGAATATTGTTCAGGGAAACAGATCGTATTTGTTTTGCTGCAAATACTGTTTTTTAGGTAGTTTTTTTTGATGGTCAGGGACAGTAAAAGGTAAACAGTGAAGGAGGGATGGTGATGGGAAGCTAATTATAAAATCTAGAAATAGTGTATCCTAATAGCTCTACTGTAAACACATAATTGTTTTTCATTGTTTTTTTCATCCTTCAGCATTTAATACTTTGACTTAATTACAACTTTCCTGTAATGGATTTGAGAATCTCTCATACTAAAAACTGTGAAACCCTACACCTAGCATGATTATGACTTTATCTATGTTAGCCAATAATAAAACAAAGTTTTTTTTTTTCCTCTTTTGAAATTATCATCTTCCTACTCAGGAAAAGGATTATGAGAGAGTTCTTACTTCACTCAGACATTTTTCTAAACTGGCCATTTGCTATCCCTTTTGGGAGCAGGCCAGAAGTAGAGGTGATATATTATCCTCAGGGCAAATCAGAGCTAATCCTGTGATTCAGACCTCTTCCTTAAAATCATAGTTCCTGTGGGTTTCCCAGGCTCCACCAGCATAATGTGATATTATATCTGCTTGGCTTGTTGATAAGGGTAGATTTTGAATGCATCTCTTAAATCTTCTTATTTCAAGCTGCAACATAGTCTGTGCCTAAAATGGACAAGGTAGAGTCTTGTGAACCAAAGTTAGACCTTGACACTTCTTAGTCTACAAATTAAAAAAAAAATTAAAGTCTATAAATTTTAAGTCTATAAATTAAAAAAAAAAAAAAGTGTTTTAATTAGTTTGTTTTGTACTCTTTAAAAAGAGAGGCAACTGCCTTTATCTCATCTCTCAAGAGGTTCATCTTCAATGACACCAAAGCCTGCAGGGCACTTGACTGTAAACATGGGAGATGACCATGGAACTTCTCCTCTCCGGTTTGAAGCAGTTGCAACTTATGAAACATATATAAGATCAAATTTTCAGTTTATTCTATGCAATGCTCTCGATCTGTGCACAGGCTTTTCAAATAGCCTGGAGTGTGCTTAATGAAGCTCCTTCTGGTGCAGCGGACACACGCAAGCGTGTCTAATTTTGCCCCATTCTTCCCTAATGTAGCCATCCATATTGTTGCCCACTTGATCAACATTGAGCGGTATCATAACAGCCAGTCAGAGGAAGCAGGGGAGTTACAGAAAAAACTTTCTGGCCTTGGCAAAAGCCCAAATGAAAGCTACTTGAACCCAATCAGAACCTATGAAATGGTAAGCTGCCACTTTTTGGTTTTCCTCATGAAAAAAATTTCCTCTGTGGATTCTATTGTCGGGAAAACTATATTTCAAAGCCTTTTAACCAGAGCGAGAAGGTGCTGCCAGAGGTTAACCTCAATTTCAGCTGAAAACACTTACTCAGAGCTGCAATTTTCAGGTTACTAAGCTCAAAGAAATGTCTATAGTATTTTAATTAGTTTGTCAGGAGATTGCTGAGAGGGAGGGTAAGGAGTGTCATGAATAGTAGACAATGAAACAAACCTGCAAGGAATTTAAAAAAATAAAGTAAACTATAAATATATAGAGCTAACACAACTTCTCTTTCTCTTTTTCTTTCTTCTTCCTTCTAGAAAAAGAAGTAAAAAACAAAGGAAATAACACCAATAGTACATAACACTTCTTTCATTGTTGTTACTTGCCTCTCCCCATGTGTTATCTTCCCAGTCTGGGGGTTGGTTCTACCCCATTACGTGTAGAGTGTGGCTGCCCAGGGAAAATAATAAGCAACATCCAGAGGCTTGTTGTCTATGGGAAGCACTATATCCCGTGCACTGGGAAGCTAGGGACAGTGTGTGCAAGACTGCAAATAAATGGGTGTGTTTGCTCTCAGCATGGGTGGAGATCTTTCTTAAAAGACTCATGAGGTAAAGAGGAACGCAGTCTTTCTGCAGTGCATGAGTGTAAAACATGCAAAAGTTGCTCTGCTCTTTTCCTTATTCCATTATACTGTACATCAGATGCTATCTGTTTCCTTGTGTACATTGCTGTATGCTGTATGTCCTGCCAAGAATCCCATATGTATTGCTTCTGCTCTTGAGGAAATTCATGCATATCTAGCATATAGTGAAGGCTGTTTGAACATCCTGGATTGGGGGCCTTTCAATCAGAAACAAAGTGAGATGATGGCTGGACAACCATCAAAGGATTTCATAGTGCTTTTCAGTTACAAGGCATTTTGTCCTGTTTTTTCTCCAGTTTAGATAATGTGACTTCTACATCTTTCTAAACAAACAAACAAACAGTTCTTAAGTTTGAAGAAAAGGAAACAAATCAACAGTCTCAAGAGTATGATGTCTTGATGTTAGTGCTGAGAAAATAGCCAAAGCAGAACGGTGAGCAAGGACAAAGCTGCCTAGTTTCTTAAATACTTGGTGCCCGTTCTCATCACTTACACTTGAAATGTAAAACATAGGAGAGCTCACAGTACTGAATGGCAACCTACTGCCTTCTAGTACACATTTTTTCCTTCACTAAGTCTTCCCATGGTAATATTATTGATAGGTAGGCTTCTAATTAACATTAAGGTCCTAAGTACCCTTGAGAAGGAAAGCTAGAATTTTCTGAGATTCTTTCCCAGATTTTTCATAGCAATAGACTCCACAATTACTTTCTAATTTACAGCCTAGATTATACTCTAACCTCTAATGTTTATATTTCTTTTATCTCACACCTCTGTCTTAGTACCTATACTCGGAATTAATAAATTATGAAGGAAAGCAAAGAAAAGATTTCTTCTAACTTCAGAGAAGAAAGTTCTGAGAACAACAATTCAGGTTTCTTTTTCTGTTCCATTTTAACCCTCCAGTAGTGATGTACTAAGTGTCTTTGACATTTTTCCTTGTTTCATCTCAACATTCAACTAGCCACTGTAGTGGAAATGTTCAAAATATCACCTAGATCAATCCTGTTAACATGTAGAAGAATCTGAATACACTCTTCACAGGCACCAATTTGAAAATGTGCTGTGTGCTGTCAAGTGTGAACATTTGAAAGAATGATTTTACTGTAAAAAGTGACTGTAAAAATGACATTGTGGAATTTTATCACCTCTAGTATTTCCATATCAGATGAGTGCACTTTGAAGCACAATATGTGTTATTTTTTTTTCTTAGGATATTAAGCTGTAGAACCAACTCACAATCCAGTAGGCATGCTCAATTCCCTCATTCTTTCACATCAGTCCCAGAAAAACAGATATATATATATGCTTTGCAGGCCAAGTAGAGACTTAATTTACACTCTGCTGGCATATTTAGCTTGAGTCTCATCTTGTGTGTGAGATTTTTACTGCTGTTCTTCATGATTTGCACTTTCTGAGATCAGCATCTGACTGTTGTGTTCAAAATACATCTTCATTCTCACTTCAGTTTATTTTGGGGGGTTTAGACAGATGTAACAGACTTGTGCTGATGTCTGTGAGTCATGAACAAAAAAGGAACCTGATGTAGCCCAGAATATTAATGTTTCAGTGCTGACAAGCAAAAAAAAATGTGAATATACATATAGGCATAAACATGTATTTCAAAAAAAGTTAATATTATCCAATGACTGTACAGGTAAATGTAAGGAACAAGTAAATGAGATATGCTGCTTAAGCAAATGAGAGCATGCCATTTTTATGCACCATTTCAGGGCTGCTAAAAACTTACAGACTGAGATAAAAAGAACCACAGAAAGCCCCACACTTTGCAGGTGTCTTAGCACCTCACTTTATCACCCTCACATGAATAGGACAGTTTGTAGTGTTGTTTTGGTTATTACATCTCTAGGCTTAATCTTCTCTTTTCTCTAATCTGTTTCCTTTTTTTTTTTTTTTTTTTTTTTTTTTTTCTGAGACACTTTTGCATAAGATAAATAGATAAAAGTACAAATGAGACTGCTTAATTTCCTCCTTTTAATTCTTGAAACAAATAAGTGGAAGCAAACATTTACACATCTGCTTGGGATAAACCCAAGCAGAAATAGAACAGGGGGATGTTTTTCCATGTTCTTCTACAGTGAAATTGAAGTTTGCCTTACCTGTGTATCTTTTTATGTTGTTGTGGTGTTGTGTTTTTTTTTCATATGCTGAAAATATATTGTAGAATTTGATTTCATATGTAATAGTAACCTCAGTAACAATATTAATAGTGAAAATAGTAGTAACAACACCAACAATAGTAATAGTAATAATATATGCTCATTCTAGAACACAATAGGAGAGGTGCTGACCACCATAGCTGGAGTAACTGGAGTTGTGATAACTGTGGCTCTTGTTTTGATCGTGACTTCATCCACAGAGCTCATCAGAAGATCGTGCTATGAGGTGTTCTGGTATACCCACCACCTCTTTGTGGTTTTCTATATTGGTTTAATAATCCATGGTATGGGGTAAGTATCTGCATGAACATGGGGTATGTGTACACAGTTTGAGATGAAACATAATTCTAATCTTTCATTATGCGCTTTTCTATTAACAAACTGATGGGATCTTTGCTTGGAGACAGATTGCAAAATGAAAACAATGTGAAATTAAAACACACCACATTTCTGAGGACTTTTCTGTGTTTTAATTCTGTCAAACACTCTTCTGGCATCTACCTTTCTTATGACCTGCAGCTTATCAACGCATCAGCCTGAATGAACTTTTATCCCTGAGAATTGGGGCCTTCATGGGCTCAAATTAATAAGGAATAGTCCTCATGCTCATAGCTCTTGAGAGGCACTTTCAAGAGAGTTTGTACAAACTTGCCAGGCTTTCAGCACTTCAGCTGCTCAGAGGTGAATGTTCCTGTGCACAACAATCTCTTTTGCATCCATAAATATAAAGTGATTCTGCCCCTCTTTCACTGTGGCAGAAGGAATCCCAAATTTCATCACTGCAGTAACAGTAGGCACTACACTATGAACCACGGTCGTTCTCCAGTCTTAAGCAACTCAAGGTTAGAACTAGCCCAGTCAGGTGGCTTTTATGGAGAGAAATGACTGCCGGGTCACTGGTGGTCTCCCACTCAGCATGGGAGGGAGGTCCATCCTGCTGGTACAGGGCTCCTGGTTCTCATGCTGAGGAACAGCATGTTGGGAGAGCCTCCCCAGGAAACTCAGGGGTTGATAAATCACGTGTACAGTGTGAGAGCAAGAAGACTGGTAATTAAAACATTTTCATCTTCTGTTTCCAGTTCCACTGACATCTTACCCTTCCTCTCCCTTGTGCACTTCCCCTCATTTCCCTTTTTTATTTCTCTGTAATAGCATTATTATGAATCTCCAGCAGTGCATCTACATTCTTGTAATTCAGATAGGGAGTGCACTTTTGAGGAAAATCTCATGTTCTTTCTCACTACTATTTTTTGTTTCACATTATTGCACAACCTCAGACTGTAAAGTGTGGAGTGTTTGGGGATGAAACTATACCAACAGGCTTGTCTCTGGGGTCCAAGCACTAAGAAATGATCTGTTCATGTGACAGAACTAGACCTAGTCCAAAGTCTTTGGTAATGCTAAGACATGTACAGGCCTTCAACAAAAAGTGCTTTGTTCTATAGATTTTTTCCTGCTGACTGCCTAGTGTACACATGACCTCAAGCTCTTGTAATGCTTTTCAGATCTAAGGGCAGTGTCACCTGGTGTGATGACAATATGCTTTTATGTCCATTTCATAAAACATTCAGGTGGTATTGCCCAACTCCAAAGCGCATGCAGATCATCACTCTTTGACACACAGGAATTTGTTAGCCCCCACCCAGTCTGTGCATGTCTACTTCCACGAGGTACATGGAGTCACCATGGGACAGGTAACAGACTGGTTCAGTGCTTTGAGGTCTGTTACTTTTCCCACCTTGCTACTTTTCCTTGTGATTTCCTCGTGACTGTGAAGTGTGAAGGCCACACTTAGTTTGGCCTTGAGGGTTCCTGAAATTAGCCTAATTAATTAGTCCCAAGTTTCAGATCATGGATGCAAATACATGCTGTAAACTATATACTGGCCTGATTAAAAAACACCCCCCAGTTCTCACCTTTAAATCTTTAAGAATCCAATTTCAAACAACTACAATGGACCCTTCAGAACTCTTTGGTTTTGTATGCTCCCTCTACCTAGCCAGCTGATTGACATTTCCCAGAAATCGATTTCCCTGAAAAGGGGACACTCGTTTAGCAGCTCTGCTAACAGTATTAGATGAATCTGATGCTTGCACCAACCGAGGAGTGCACTGCAACAGAGCACCTCCTGCTGCCCAAATACATCTCTAACACCACTTGATTTATGAAAAGTTGAGTCAAAAGTCAAGACTCAAGTCATCCAATCAAGATAAATTCATCCACTTCATATCTCTTCCTCCTTACCAGCTGACTGCACAAAAGCAACTGCTCACTTGAGCCTACTTTCTTTTCTGTCCTTCCATTTGAACAGGTGGCAGATGATGACACTGCTATGTAAAAGAAGGCAACACTTCTTGTCTCCTTGCCTTTTGTAAGACAAGTGAGCAGGACAGGCTAGACTTGTAGAGTCAAAGTAAATACAGGAAAATTCAGAGAAACACACAGGGTTTCTCATAAAAATCTTCCTTCTCTATCCATAATCAACACCAGCTGAAACCTATTTAAACTGAACAGCCAAGATTGATATGTTTGGGAAAATTCACATCATTAACATTCTCTGAAGTAAAGAAGCTAGAATTTAATATGTTTAGAAAGCACACATCTAATTACGGTCCTCCAACTTTATTTGCAGCTTTTAAAAATGCATTTAGAAAGCAGAAAAGGAAAGAGAAGGTCTGTCACTATAAAATTTTATTGTTTTTCTAAACAATACCAGATGCTCATATATAGAGGGGGTCAAAGTGTCTGCTCCAAAGAACTTGGAAATCATTCTGATTTTGCCACAGAAAGTAAAACGTACATTCCCTGTGCAAGAACTCTCCACACTTCATTGACACTGATGTATACCAATATTATAACATACTTCTCGCACTTGGTCAAAAAGTCATGGTAAACTTAAAGGAAATGTAAAGAGAAAAGAATAGACACAAAGCGTCCAGTTCTTGAACTTCAGTTTTCTTCATGTCTGCTTTCAGGTACTAGTACAAAACCTACAGAAACATTGCGAATAAGCATATTACTGATGAATATTTTTGTTTTAAGTCAGCTAATTCGAGGTCAGACATCCCAGAGTCTGCTACTTCATAACGTCACTTACTGTAAAGATCACTACTTGGAATGGGAGAAAGTCACTCAGTGCCCTTTGCCGCAGTTTTCTGGCAAGAAACCTGTGGTAAGAGTGATGTTTGTCTTTTATTTTTAACCTAATGTCCTTCCCTGAGAGGCTGTGTGTTTTAGATAGTGGGGGGCTGGAGTGTACAATGCTAAAGACTGGCATTTAGTGTCATGTTTTGAGAGTAATTGCATATTTCTGCTCCACAACCTCTCCATGTGCACAGAGAAGATAGTGATCCCCACTTCCTATATACTTCCTATACAATCTGTACAGATAGGTAAAGATAAAGATGTGTAAAAATTAGGTGTTATTAATAATTATTATTATTTCTGCAACATTAGCTAGTTAGCCAACATTCCCTTTGAAGGGTATAGATTTCAGAATTGGACTTTTTTTTTTTTTAGGACATTTAGTTTTTATCGTTCAGCATCACAAATATCCTTGATGTGTTTATTGCATAAAAATAGCCTCCAAGTGAAAATCTTATAAGGGTAGAGATGCAGAAAATACAATGAACAGGAGAGGTAGAGATTCAAATTAATATTATTATTATTTTAACTAGTAGTGTTTTAATATGAATAGTCTAAATGCCAAGGAAGAATAAGTTAGAGATAAAATTATGTCCTTGCTTTGAGGCACATACTTCCTGTTGCCCAGCCTTGATGTCTTAAGTTGGGAAGAATGAAACAATGAATTATGAAAGAGAAAGGCAAAAGACAGGAAAAATGTCCCACGGAAGGGTAGTTTTGCTGCAACAAGATTGCAAATCCACAGGGGGTAATTAAGTAGCAGACTTGTACAGTGTGTCAGATGTCTAGCATCTAAACAAAATCATTTAACATTTACAGCTCAAGATTTAGCTTGCTCATATGCAAGTTTTAGTTCTTTCTTCCAGAAAGAGAAAACATATGAAAGGAAATCTTAAAGTAAAGGAGAAAAATTAGCATTCAGTATCTTACAGCTCTTTTAATGGCTGACATAGATTTTTCTTAAACTAAACTATTGTTAGCCACAACCCAACCTGCATATTAATGAGAAAATGAATGCCTCTCTAAAAATTTCAGCTACATGTCACCATAAAAATCAATACATGGCTATGCACTGTGAATACAGACAAGAACTTTCTTTCAACAGCATGCTTTGACATTCATTATCATAAAGCTTACTGGAGAGAACTTCTACTTCGCCATGCTAAACCCACTTTGCCACACTCTCATGCATACCCAAGGCTGTACTTGCAAAGTTACATTACTTTAAGTGAATTGTGATGATACCATATGACATTTGTCTGTAAGAACAGTGCTTTGCTGGATGGGTGGTGTGCTATGGTGAGATCCATGCTAGGAATTGCAGTGGGCTCAAATCCATCCAAAGGCTCAGAAATGATGGCAGTACTGGCAGGGCAGGGGCAGATGTGGCTGAGCAGAGGGGGACAGCCTTGGGTACAGCTGGGATTGTGCAATATGGTACCAGTGTGCACACCACGGCGCCTGTGGGGGGCTAAGGCAGTAGAGTCCTTCTCTCAACAATCCCACCCTGCTCCATATCTCATATCTCTGGCCAGAAGCTGTATTGTTTAGCAGCCCATCCCTCCTGGTGGATGCCCTGTTGTTGGAAACCAGCCACAAGATATTTTGTATTGAATGCTCTATTGCACGGGAGAATGGCACAGTTTGATATCTCAGCTGAACTCTCGCATGGGAGAGCCTGCAGCCTTAACATTCCTGTCACGTGCTTTTATTTACAGGTAGCACAAATTGAAGGGAGGAAAAACAGGTCTCATCATTATTGTGCCTTGATGTATGCTAATATATTCACGACATGTGTGATTACCCACTGTGCAGAGACACCTGTAGTATTTAGGGACAACGGATGTGTTGGCTTTCTGCTTTAACTCAGAATCTTCAGGCTTATGATGGTTTCTTACCATTATTAAATCATGCAATGTTTATTTATTTAATTAATTTTCAAGACTTAACCTTGGGAAATTGCTACTCCATCCTCCAAGCATGTTCTAAGGAAGCCACATAATTTTATGGCTCACTTCTCATAAAAGATACTTTATAACCCGTTACACAGCTTGTGGAGCAAAGTCAATGTTTTAGCAAGTTACTCTGGAAATTTTAAAAGCCATATGACTGTGGAGTCCTCAGATCACTAACATGAGTTACGCATGTAGCCGAACTGGAAATAAAACTGTATCTCCTAAAACAAACAAACAAACATTTTATTTATTTATTTATTTATTTAATTCTGAAGATTCAATTACATCTAATTATCTAGGCTGTCATGGTAAAATTCAGTAAAATCATCAGCTAGTAGCCTTGAATAGCCAATAGCCATTCTTGTGATCAGGATGTACAATCAGCAAGTACAAGTACAGCAATCCTCTGCAACAATTAAAGTACAACCATCTTAGTATCCTAGATAGAAAAAATATGTTTATGGATACAGAGACGACTAATGGATTAAATGGAAATACATTTTATTTCTCTAATTGCATATTTGGGACTGACTGTTTTCTCATGCAGCTTCAGAAAACACAGAGCAGACAATAAGAGGTACTCTTATCTGACCCTTCTGAAATATTTCAGACTTTGAGGAGCAACAAAACAGTGAGGCTATAATGGGTATCAATGTATGCATCTATACTTCTTCAGGTCCAATAATCTTTCTCTATATTTCCTAAATAGATTAGTCCTTTTGCCTTTTAGTAGGAATGGATTTTAAAGGACTCTTCTTGGCCAGAACACAGATAGATATTAGCACTGCTTTTAGAGTGTGCCTATGATGGAGTCCCATATGTCTGTTCTGTGAGAACGCCAGAATTGCTGCAGTAGCAACAGAAATACTCTCTTGAGAAAGGCAAATGAAAAATCACTAGAAAAGAAAGCAAACACTTTCATTTTAGGGTATCTGCTGATTTAAACCAGAAATGCAAAACATTTTTGTAGAAGTTGAAATAAATGTTGTTTTTTAATATGCAACTTCCTGCAGGCTTGGAAGTGGGTTTTAAGTCCTGTGGTGTTGTATATCTGTGAAAGAATTGTTAGATTCTGGAGATTTCAACAGGAGGTGGTCATTACTAAGGTATGTAACGTAGCGTGCATGTCTGTGTAAAAAGAACATAATGCCAATGACTTCTTTTATCTTTTATAGATAACTTCTCTATATTATGACCTTATTTTTTACTTCCAGCTTCAGCAGCTCTTTCATCATTACTATGGTTTCAGCCAAGTATTGATTTTAGCATTTTTTGCATTTATTCCAATAACAAGTCCATGCGAATATTCCATATGGGACCAAGCCTGATTAATGAAATACCAGACTTATAAGGCTACAGTAGTATATCACAAACCTCTGTGCTAAGGCTATCTCTTTTCAGTGAACTGAAGCACATCTTCCACTGCAGTAAATGGCAGAGAGGCTCTTGACTTTAGCACAAATCAGTATTTTCTTTAAAATCTGGAGTCTTCCAAGGAGATGAAGCGTTACATTATCTGTCAGCATAAATAGTCAAAGCATCATTAAAACTAGTACAACTGTGACAATTTATCCCAGTTCTAAATGCCTTTGTGTGCTGAGGCCCCCTTTAATTCATGGTAGAATGAATCAGGGATGTGACTGTTGGAGCAGCTGTGTCCACACATATCAAGCCAGCGATCTGAAGCAGGCTTATCTTGTGCAAGGGGGAAAGCATCCAGGACAAGTCATGCCTCTGATTTCATAGGGTGGTTGTGATCTGAACATCTCAGAATGCCATGTGTGACATATAAAACTGTCTGCTTAACTGAGATTACCTCTTAATAAAAGTATTTTAGGATTGAACTCCACTGGGCTTGATTCTTCTTGCCAAACGAGCAATAATCCTACCCATACATACAAGTTAATTGTATTACATGAGAGTAAAATTGGAAAATTATTTTAGCCTGTCAAGGAGTACTTCTGCGTAGGCTCTACTAAGATGGAAAGTTGACAAAATGTTGCTTTGTTACAGCCTTTAATCTGTCTCTTAGACTCACAAAGCAAGCTGCTGCATGTTTCATACTGCATCTGCTTGCACGTTATTGGGCAGCAGCAGCACTACAACACAGAGATTAGGCCATTGCCTTCAAGACATTTAAAAATTTTTATTAACTTGTAGCTGAACTCAAGTAGAAATGATTAAATCTACAGCTGTAGCTTAATGGAAACAAACTATTACTCTTCTCAAGGAAAACAAAGTCTTCCCTTTTATTATTGTTCAGGTGGTGACTCATTCTTCTGGAGTCCTTGAGCTTCACATGAAGAAGCATGGCTTTAAAATGGAAGCTGGTCAGTATATCTTTCTGCAGTGCTCATCGGTGTCATCGCTGGAGTGGCACCCCTTCACCCTCACCTCAGCTCCTGAGGAAGACTTCTTCAGTGTTCACATCAGGGTGGCTGGGGACTGGACTGCAGCCCTCTTCAAGGCCTTTGGAGCAGAGGAAAAAGCTTTCAAGGAGTTGTGGATGTTACCAAGGTTTGAATATCAAACAATACATTTTAAAATATTAATTTTGTATTTTAAAATAAATTTTAACATTTTTAATTTCAATTAATTCTGTGGATGTTCCCTATGGCACTGTATTAGATCATAGTTCTGGATCCAGAAATATGCCATTATGGTAATAAATAAATAAATAAATACAGTCATGAGCTTAGTCCAGTAGCTATCAAGAAGACCTGATGAATGATCCAAGATTGAAAGTCCATATTGATATCTATATCATTATTGCTATCATCCAAATCTTCACCACCTATATCTGTAGATATCCATTTTGATAGAGGGGTACTTGTGAACTAAATTAAAATAACCTTAGAAGATATCTGCTAGATTTTTACTTGGATGCTTCTGTTCTGGCACACAGCTCCTGTCATCCACATGTCAAGTTTACCTCTTTGGGTTACATAGATATTTGGTGGCTGCAGAAACCTCTGACTGAACCTTATTTCTTTCTAGCAGTCTCTCTCAACTCTGTCTCTGATGCCCAAATCCTGTCCTAATGTATAAAAGTTATTGATATTTATATTCTGTATGTGGCATCTTAATCCAAGCGAAATGTTGATCCTTCTTTGTTGCAAACAGCAGGGATCTGCTGAAGTTAATGGAGCCATCCTGACTTACACCTGCTAAATATCTGGCTCTACATGTGATGGATTCAAACCATTTAGCTACTCACAGCCATAGTGGAGTTTTTCACCACAGAAAACAGCCCAGCACAACAGAGGATCATTTCAATTGCAGGGGAATGTGTAGGGTCTGCCACTGAAGTGACTACTTCTCCCCTTAAGAAAATTGCTTTTGATGAGGTGGTTCCAGTAAAACTAAACAGCAAAAGGCACTTGTTTAACCACATTTATATAATTTAGTGGGACTTGGATGCTAGTGAGCTTTCCCCTAAAAAGCTTATGGATGCCATTAAGCTCCAGAGGCAAAAAGACTGTGGGGGCAGAGAAGAAAGTCTAGCGTGTTCCTTGCATTATCAGTTAATAAGAATTAGAAATGAAAGTTGAGCCTTTGTTAAAGGCAACTGGAATGAGAATTATGCTATTTCAGCAGAACTGGAGCACAAATGGCCCAAAGTGATTGACAGCTAATGTAAGGGGGAAAGAGAAAAATGTTATCAAATGTTGCTGGCCATAATACAGCATTGAAATAAACAGCACTGTCATATATAAAACCTCTTCTTTATAATCTTGTTAGGCTGCCTAATACCACAGTCCAGTTGCTTTCTTCAAATATATTAAAAAGATTATTTCAATAATTAAGCTAGCAATAAAGCAAAAAACAAGTCTTTTTTACATTTTTCTATATCTAAAGATAAATACCAAACTGGTAGCTACAGTCAAAAATACCATTTTGCAGAAACCAAGCAGAAGACAAAAGACATTTAGCAACTGAATGATAAGGTAAGGTTCTAAAAACAAAGCATGCATACTGCAATTAATAAAGGAATACTAAAAGAAAATATACATGTATCCAAAATATATTTGTAATAGGAACAGCCTATATCCTTATTTTCTAGTCCTCTCTTGGCATACACAAATGAAATATATTTTTTGTTACTTTGTTTACTATCTTCCTACCTTCCAGCATACTCTCTGGTTCAAATGAATGGGTTGTATAGTTCAGTTTCTCTTTCCCTGCCTTCTTGGAAATCTTTGTAAGCTAAGCTCTCTAGTTTCTGCACAGCAAGGCATTCAAACCAATGATGGGATCTCTGTCACCTGGTGATTTAGGAACATACTGACAAGACAAATACCTGTAAGGAATGAGTTAGATATAATTCTGGTTTATAGCATACTGACAAATTAAATAATCTCTTGAAATTCCTTCCAGATCAATTTCTTCTCAATCTACTAACAATAATGAGAATTGCTACCAAGCCTACATTGAACTACGTAGAACATTTTGCATATATAACCTAAATCATTCCTGTTTTACAAGAAATGTTGAGTGCTCAAAAAGCACAGGGCTTGACAGTAATCTGAATAATGACATATATTAAAAATAATTTATTTTGTTTATATCTGAGGCCAGATTTTCAAAAGTTATCCCTGAGTTGCTGTTTCATTTGCTACTGCAATTGCAGAGCATTTGGAATACTGAAATTAAAACAAGCCATGTGACAAGTATGAATGAAAGGGAGAACATTTGCTAGGACTTCAAGTACATTTCAGGAAAACAACAATCAGGTTTCAGATCCGTTGTGTCCCTATATTGATGAGTACTGTTGCTTGGTGATCCTACTTTCCTTTCCTGTTAAAACACTTAATTGTCCCCATGTCTGCATATTTGTTCATACTGTTGAAACTGAACTTTTAAGATGATTTATGCAAGAAAGAGCACAAAACATCAGAAAATCTGAAAGAAGGAGAAAAGGACATTTTTCTGAAGACTTGGTGTTAGATTGTGAAACAATCTTCTAGAGCAGTTACATTATTTAAAGACAGACTAGACAGAGCACTCCAAAGCACAGTGTGTATTTACATTTCATGTTTCTAGAGGAAATAATCAGATTATTTAATAATCTTTTTCATCTCTAATGTTGATCAAAATGAATGTTACAACATCAGCAACATTGATTATAGTGGCTAGCAATATAAATAAGTGTTTCTCCTTGCAAATTTCACCTCTATGTCAGATACTAAGTACAGTATTATTGCCAAAAATGAATTTCTGAAATATTAGTTTTTCTGAAAGAGCCGAGAAAATATTATTTTCCTTGCATATGATGACCTCTTTTTGTTTTCTCTTTTATTACTTTAATACATAAGGAGAACTTTTCAAAATGATTAATATAATCAGTTTGTCTTTACTTTGATATATACAATACAGAAAATAAAGCTCTAAAACAGGATGCTTTTCAGTAATTCATAATTAAATATGCAAATTCCTCAGCTAAATTTGGACATGCAATTATATGACTAATCACATTTCAGAAAGCCAGAAAATTGCAATTGCATGCTTAAATAGATGGCCAGGCCCCAAACCCACATGGGTGCTCTTGTTCTCTCATCTCAGAAAAAAACAGTTGCTTTGCTATTAAATGACACCCAATGAAAATTAAATGTGTTTGTATGGGTTATTCACATGCCAACTTAGGCACATCATTCCTCTTTTATTTTAACAGAAGCTCAATTTTGAAAACACGTAGCCCAACACATTTTAACTTTTCTGTCACTTTATACTTTGCTGACCCCTGACTAAATGTTTCCTTGCTGTAGACTGGCTGTGGATGGACCATATGGATCTGCAAACACAGATGTTTTTCACTACAGAGTGAGTGTGTGCATTGCAGCAGGGATAGGAGTCACACCATTTGCTTCTATTTTAAAATCCATTTGGTACAAGTGCTGCAATCCTAACACAGTACTGGCGCTGCAGAAGGTAGGTGGGAAAGTTTATCACTCCATTAAAAAACTCCACAAATAAGCCAATTGTGCCAGGGCAGAGGGGCAATTCAGAGCTGGAGACTCATTTGAGTGCTATAACCTGCCCACAGTCATATAACCTAACACAGTCATTCACTTTCCAGCTGCTTCAGGAGCCGTTGTGTGGTAAGGTCTATCAAATTCTCTGTCATTTCCTGAGGAATTAAGTAGCCCTAGTTGCAGTGTTTTTAGTAAAAGCTGAAGAATAAGATTTTCCATAGAAATTGGAGACAAATGCAAAATGTCTTTCATAACTAGACTGAAATAGAGAGAGCTAGAAGACAAGATTTTCTTCTTTCCTATAAAACAAATCTTGCAGGGTCATTTCAGGGGGCCCTGATGACAGCACTTGCTCCTTGTCCAGCCACAAGCTTCACGCGGGCCCTTGGGGTGCCTGTCCTTATCGAAAACACTGCTTTCAGCAACCACTAGCTGCTTTTCTCATCTTGCAGAATCAGAGGGACATTAGCAGGTAAGAAGGAATGAAAAAAGGCATTTAAGCTCTGGATGAGATTCATATATCAAGATGCATATTGCTGCCTGTAAACCACTTTAATTATTTCATTGAAAAAATATACTGTGGGCTCTAAGTCATGGATGGCACCAATTAACGTAACAAACTCTTGATGGGAGAACTTGTTATACATCTTCCACTAAAGAATAGTGTGGCTGCACAGAAAGAAGACAGGTGAAGAAGAGAACGGGTGAGGCAGGTGAGGGATAAGAGGGTAACAGAGAAAAAAAAATCAGCATTAAACATGTTCTTTGCTATCTACCATGGCAAGTGGTAACTTGCAGATCTTACAGCTTCCTTTAGCTCTTTTTTTCCTTATAAAAGCTGAATCAGGAACTGTTCGACATTTCACTTTTAAGGACAGATGTTGAAATTGCATTGGAGTGGACAGATCTCTGAGAGGGTCAGTACATACGGAGCTGATTGTGGGGCCAAGGGGCTGATTTTTCTAAATGAAAGAGTGTTAAAGCTGGCATCTTAATGACAAGCTGCCACGGAGAAAGCGTCTGGGATTTTAGCAACTGAGGAGTTGAGGACAGGTTCAAATTGCCAGGGGGGATCTTTGAGGCAGAAAAAGCTGTGAGAAAGGAGGGAAATAAAAATGAAAATATGTGCTAGATGTGAAAAGTGTACTTGCAAACATTCCCATTGTACCAGAATGATTATTTCCAGTGGAAGGAGAGCTACATATATGCATAGATGTGTTACAAATGTATATTTCACATATTATATATGCAAACATTTAAAATTGTTATTATTATCATTGCTGTCATTGTCTTAAGGGGAAAAGAACTGAATTTAAATATACTTTGAGAGAATAGTATACCTCAGGGTGTTCATCCATAGCTCAGGGAGAATATTGGGTAAGTGAGTCTACAATGAAAATTGTATGGTGCATTCTGCCACAGTTTTCATCTATAGAGTTCCACTTTTTGAATTCCCGTGAAATACAAAAGTATAATGATTTCTATATGTTCTTTCCCTATGTCTTGTTTTCCTTATTGGTGCAGTGGGAATAGCAATGCTTATTTTTCACAGGTGTTATAAGGCTAAACTTCATCACTGTTTGTAAAGTACCTTGAAAGCCTGGATGAAAAGTTCTGGGGGAAGTTCACAGCATTCTTAAAAAAAAAAAAAAAAAAAAAACAGTCATATTGTCGAGAACGATTATTTATCTCCCCTCTGTTGGTTAAAACCTTCCACTTGTGGTATAATTACAAATAATTTAATCTTCCTCAAAGTGTTCAGCACTCTCTGCCATGATGAGTACCATAGAAATATCTATTAAGGAAATAAATAAGAGGTTTTTCTTTTTTTAACAGCTTCATTTTGATTTGAGTACAGCTATCATTATGCTTATTGAACTAATATTTCTTAGTGTTGCCCACATACAGTTGAGATATAAATACTCATAGCTTCCATAATGTCTGCAGCTGTATAACTTTAAAAAAATAATTAAATAAATAAAACCCAGCAAATCAAAATGAGTACACATTTATCTAATTGATTCTTCACAATTAAGTAGCCTTAGAGCCTTCATTTGCCCATCATTCTTTGTGATGAGGAAGGGAACTGCTACTAGTTATGGCTGGAAAGTTTCTACTGGCTGTAGTTAAGCAAAAAATATCTTTTTTTTTTCCACATTAGTGATATAATTTTTCAGACCAAATGCTGTTGAAATTGATTAAATTGTACAGATACATCAGATGCAAATTTTAGCAAACATCTACTTTCTACTTTTACCCTACATAAGGACATAAGAAAGAGTCTCACCAAAGACCCATCTAGCTCTATGTCATTTCTCCAACAGTGGCTGTTTATGGATGCCATGGGAAAAATGTACAGAATGAAAAATCATACAGTGATATTTCTTTGTTGTACATTTTCTTGCCTTTGAGCAACTTGCAGTTCCGTAATGACTTGTTACAAGAGCTGCCTCTCTGTGTTTAATAACCCTTAATAGATTTTTCTTCCATGACTTTTTCTAATTGCTTTTTAAACCCATGTAGACTTTTGACAACTATAGAATATCATGGAAGTAGGTTCAACAGCAGTCCAACTACTCATTGCTAAAATACCCTCTACCATATTCTTTGAGACTGACCGTACCTATCTGAGGTAACCTTCTGCTTTAAAGTACACCCCAGTCCATGAGTTCCTCAGTATAACATTTTGGCCTGAAGAACTGGGCTTACTTATCGAAGGTGACCTCAGCTGTCTTTGAGAGAAGTTTTGGCTTCTTGCATCAGATGTAGGGGTACGAATTCTAGTCTCATCCTGCACTTATATTAAAGGTTGCCTGCTGCCACCATAGCTCCAAGTCAATGCCCTGTTGTGCATGCCCCTGGCTGCCAGTACTGCTGCACCTTGCCTGTAGAGGCCCAGTGGCTGAGGCAGATCTCTGATCTTTTTTGATGTGCTATGGGCAGCATGGCTTATCCAGGAGCAGGAGGGGTCTTTCAAGGAGGTGTCCAGCTGCAGATACAGGAAGGCTTTGCAGTGAGCAGTCTCATGTCTAAGGGGGAGCAGCAAGATCCAGGGATGAAGGTGTCTCTCTGACAGCCCTGGCCTCATCACCTTTTACACCTCATTGGTGGAAAGATGGCTTTGCTCAGAGCCACAGCTCCCCTTCTGTCTTCAGGGAGCAGAGAGAAACAGACAGATGGTCACCAACAGATAGTTATTAATGACTTTCTGCGTGATGGAAGATGATTTACACAGTGTATTCTTTCACCTTCCAGGAAAGAAGTATCTGAGCTTTTCCTTGTCTGTTGTACAAAATTAAGAATAGGGGAAAATGAATAATAAATATGCATGCATTGCAAGGGAGTAGAATATTATAGAAATATAGAAATAAGCGACTACTCAAGCCCTTGCATTACATTTCTGATTAATAGCAATACTGTGTCTAACTCAATTTGCAAAAAGAGCACTTGGAAAATTTAAGACAGTTTACTTGGGCAAGCCATCAAGCTGATGAATGTAGTTGATGGGGGTAGGGTGGGTGGAGACTAATGAATCATAAATCTAAAACAGATTTTAAGGGTTCTAAATAATTGCACAGTCAGTTAATATTATCAGGCTTAGAAGAAAAATATAGGATTCAGAATAATTGTTTAATTATAGAAATGCACTGATTCTGGTCTTATTCTAATTTTAATAAGGATGAATTTTATGGTGTGTTTATTGTATTTTAATTATATATGTAATATGCTGTGCTACGTTATGGGCACTCCGTGTAAAGAAAGGAAGACTCCTTCATAAACAGCATTTATTTTAACATATTATACTGGAAGTCCTCCTTGATCTAAAGGAAGAGAAAACCTTTTATCCATAGGCCAGCCCTCTTCAGTAGCTCTTTTCTTTCTAAGATTATAGTCATGGCTGAAAATACCTTTTATAATGACAATCTTTCTTCATTAGCCAATGTTCTCCACTGCTAACATGAAAATTAGAGGCAGTGCAATGGATACAGCTTCAGCAGAACTGTAACAGCAATGAGTTTAAGGAATTTCTGCAGCTTCAGAAAGTGATATCCTTTCTCAAGAGGATTGTGCCAGAGGCAGCTTGACCTAATTCGGTCGAACTGGCTGTTACCGTGACAGCTAGGTCTGTAACCAGCTAAAACCACTCCTTCAAGTTCCACAGCCCAATATTCTGGAAAGTATTTCTGCATTTCCAAGACCACATTGTCTCAGCTCATCAGCTGTCTTTTCTTCCTTCTTCCCTGAACGTGCTTGGAGCCCAGTCCTGCCCACTTGCTCCCAGTTGCTACCCTGAACACAGTTCATTATTCATTTAGGAGCATATGCCTCCTCTCCACACACACATACTACAGATATATTTCCATAAAATGAACTGCTGAAAAGGCTTGAGAAATAAGATGATCAAATAGAGACTGAGAGAAGAAATTTCTCACTACAAATCAACAGCCACAGTGTGATACAGACTGACAGCACTCCATGGCCTCATTTTCAAGGTGCAGTGGATGTGAAACAAGCAGGGACTTCATGATTCATCCACAAAATAATAAATAAATTAAGCTTAAGGTTATAAATTATATATTTCTGTTAATTTAAAATAATGCTGTTGTTAGTCACAAAAATGAAATGCTATGAAGTCAGTGCTTGCTTTTTCCTCATAACCTATGTCAGTGTAAATCAGCAATGAACCCATGTAAAGCATTATTTAAAGTAAAACATTAAAACAGAATAGGAAAAAGCAAACAGCAAAGATAGTTGGTACTAACATTCAGCAGACAGTCCTGTTCCTGGGCAGTAAAAATACCCTATTTAACCTTGAATGATTTATCTCTGCTTACTAGGCTCATACTTCATTTATATTTCTTATAGAAACCACAGATGGTCCCTTACGGCATGCTCAGATCTAGGAAACATCTCAAATTACTGTTAGCCTCTTTCACCAAATCTCCAGTGAAGTGCGGTATTACCACATTTTTCTCCCACCACCTTACCAGAAATCTGACAACTTGCTATATTAAAACGTTGCGAAATGTCTTTATAGCTTCCTGGTTTCTCCTCCGATTTTTCACTTCAGAAATGTCTAATATGCATCTTTAGCTCATTGATCCTATGGAAAAGATCTATAATTTCCAAATTTTCAGACCTCCCCAGAGTGATCATCTTGGGGACAGACCTTCTAGATTACATTTTATACTGAGATATAATAAAAAACAGAAGGGCCTGGTGAGCACAAATGGAGATGTGTTGGAGGAAATTAAGAGATTTTGCAACAATATAAAAAAATCATAGTCACAATAAAAATAGTGCCAGCCATCCCATCATTATAAATTTATAGTTTATATTATATAAGTTTATAGGGGACCTCCATGTCATTCCTTTTTAATCTGAGTTTGTGTATTTCTAAGCTTCTTCCATGTTTGTGAAGTATCCCTTTTGAGGCATTATATAAATTACACTCAAAATTACATTGTCCAGAGAGAACCACTGAGCTGTTGAAATGACTGACAGCAGTCAGTCTTTGAGTCTTTGACAAAGAAGTGCACAGAACAAGCACTCTCTCCATCACTGGATTTTCCTGATCCTGCTTCCTGGTGAGCAGAGGAACTATGAAATTTAGGAACGCTGGGTTCTACCCCAGCATTTTAGGAAGAAAATTATGTGTAGCAAATATGACCATATGTTCTCTTTCCAAATTGTTGATGTCCTGATCTTTTTAAGATCTCATCACTGGTTTCTTGTCTCATCTCTGGTTCCAGTCCCACTCCATGTGCCTTGGATGTTTCATTACCTCTGAGTTTCTCACTGGTCTGTTTTCCAAGAGTTGCAGTAACTCTTCTCAAATTTCTGGCCACAATTTATTTTTATCTTTATTTTTATCTTTATTTCTGTATTTTTTAATACAATTTTATTTTATGTCAGTCCCAATTTTCTCTACACTAATTATCTTTGTTTACCTCTTTACCTTTTCCATGATATTTTTGTCTTATCCTTTTGCCATTATACCACAAAGATACAAACATCTTGCATTCAGGTCTTGCTGCCCAGCCTCATGCTGGTCTGGAGAAGCATCCATTTCCCCAAAGGTAAAATTTACATTAGCTGAACACATATCCTAAGCATGCAATGGGGCTATAAATAATTGAGGAAGAACTTCTAGGTCTTGCAGTTAGGCTTCAAAAATTCTCCACTCAGTATATGCAGAACATCTCACCACACAAGCTTGGACATCAGGATATCATTTTTGGAAGGACATAATGGCCTTGGAGATGTATGCTCAAGACTCTTGACTGAGAGACCTTATATTGCTTCCAGATGGTTGTCCCTGCATGCAGCTGTGCCTGGCATACAGGGTATTTCAAGGTCTGCTGCTCTCTGTTTGAATGTAATGATGGATTGCATTAGCATGGCAAGAGCTCCAGAACTTAAGTAATAAGAATGGCAATCAATTTGTGTGTATATATATGCATATATATTATATATAAATGGTATATATAATTGTGGTTCATTTGTGCTTCATGGCAGTGGCTGGGCAGACACCAAGTGCTATCCCGAGTGGTTCAGGAATTCCCCTTCTTGTCCTGTGCACAGCAGGATGAGCTTGAGACAATGGACTTAGATGAAATGAGGTGATGGGCAACACTGCCAGACACCTTCACAGCTCAGCATTTGACTGATTAGTGGAGGAGGTTTCCAGGTGGGAATTTCCAACTGTTTTGAAGACTCCCCGAGGCAGCTCCTGCTCTGCCTAATCCAGCTGTATGTTTTAGTGTGTTGATTAAGATCCTGGGAGATAAATCTCACAGGTTCTGAGACTCCACACATGGTTCCAGATGAAAATTTGATTCACTTGTACATGGATAACACACTTGCAAACAAACAGTTCCAGCAGAAACTGTTCCTGCAGAAATGGTCATGCAGGACAGTCTTTTATACATAGTTAATTAGTTTAAAAATGCTTTGTATGTAGGTAAGATAATTGATCACAATAGATCATGTGCGTGCTGGAGTGGTCACAGAGGTCCCTGGGCCACCTGGATTTAAGTATTGAGCTGAACAGGGATTTGAGGGAGTCTCACCTGATCCAGCTGAAGATACCACAATGAGGACTCTTGAAATAGAAACATGCATCATCATATGGACAGTGACTGACCATCTGGTTTGAACAATCTGATTCCCTATTCAAGCATTACCCTGTGCCAAGATCCCAGCAAATACAGGACAACTTGATCCCAGCCTCTAATTTCTGCCTGGGAAACAAAGCTTTAATAGTAGGCTCTCCAATCCAGCCTACAACATTAAAAATAAAATAAAATAAAATAAAATAAAATAAAATAAAATAAAATAAAATAAAATAAAATAAAATAAAATAAAATAAAATAAAATAAAATAAAATAAAAATACAGCATATGGAAGATGAAACTAGAGAAATTTAGAGGAAAAAAAAAGTGTAAATTTTTCATAGAGAGGAGGTCTTTAATCAATAGAAAACAAAATCATTGGATTGCAGTTCATTAGACCCCTGTGGCAACATTAAAGTTACAGTTTAATGTTTTTCTAGAAATTATATGCTCCAAATTAAGAAAGACATAAATTAAAAAATCTAGGGACATTCTGTAGACTTTTTTTATATAGGGTATTTAACTTGAAGTACATAGCTAATACCTTTTGACCACATCAACTGTCAACCTATGGTACAAAGTCTTGAGAAACAAGAATTCCTTTCTTCAGTGCTGAGTAAAATTGAAATTCCCTGTTCATCATAACCAAAAATCAATGCAAAGTTTCAAAGGATTTCAAGCGATTTGCAAGAAATGCAGGATTAGGTACTCTTAGTTAAAGGTGTACTGGCAGGAGAAATTGGGAAACTTGTGCACTGCCTAGCTTCACTGACACGTGAATCAATCTTCAGTCAATCATTAAGATGAAAATGAATGAATGAATGAATTTATTTATTTATTTTAATTACAGAGCCTCTTCATCATCAAAATGATGTGTGATTCTGTTTAAATTTACAGTGGAGAAGAGTCACACACACTGTGGTTAATGACTTGAGCTTATCATTAGGAAGTTTTATTGAAAGTTTTCTTCTTGCTTAATCTCTTTACTTTTATCTGACAGGTTTATTTTTACTGGATCTGTCGAGACCCATCAGCATTCGAGTGGTTTGCTGATCTTCTGTTCCTTTTGGAAACAAAAATGGCTGAAAAAGGGAAAAATGATTTTCTAAGTTATCATATATTTCTTACTGGTTGGGATGAAAGTCAGGTAATGATGAAACTCTTATGAGTCTGAGTTAATGTACCTTGCTTTTCCAGTATGGTAACATATGGAATAGGAACAGATGAATGAATGATGGATGAAACAGAGAGACAAAGAACTGTAAATATAAAGACACCAGACTGTCTGTTTCCATTTCCATCTCACATTTAGAAAACCAGGAACAGAGAAAGCAAGCCAGTGATCCCTCCAGTCCAGTCTCTTTTCCTGGGCAGCCCTGACTACCAGGTGTTTCAAACACAAGTGCAGAGAGCCTTTTGGGAGCTTGTAAAGGGACATTTTGTCCATGTTTTTGGAACATCCTTTAAATAGATTATAGCATATTTACACTGAAATATGGAGGGTTGTATAAAAAGCATTGGTTTTGTTTACTCATTATTTACTATAATTTTTGTTGTTCACATATATGTCCAGTACACTTTTGAATCCTGCTGCATTCATAACATTCTGACAACAAACTCTATGGACTGATTTATGTTGTTTGAAAAGATATTTTCTCTGACTGAGTTTAAATTCATGATTTTATAATTTCAAGTTGTCATCCCACCTTGAGGTACTTAATCATTAGACTGTGTGGCTTTTATTCAACTTCTTTAGTCTTTACCTAAACCTAAAAGAGTTGATTTTCTCTTTCTGTATTTTTTTTAACTGATCTCTCAGATCACACTATGATCAGAGTTAGGCACCTGCCAGAAAATCTCTCACAGAAAAGTCTTTGCTCTACTATTTTATTTCCTGCTGCCTCTACTGAATACTGAATACAAGGACTGTCTACTAAAGATTAAAAATCACATTTCAGAAATCTTTCCCCTTGCTGTTTACCACAAAAAAAAAAAAAAAAAAAAAAAAAAAAAAATTATTTCTGCCTTCTTCAGGGATTTGATCATGTAATGAGGTATGTGTAAAAAAATGTATTCAGAGAAATCTCTTCTGATCATGGATCGTGAAGTATAGTAGTCATAGAAGTAAGCAGTAAAGCAATCCTAGAAGTCACTACTCTGCATTACCAATAACATGAGGTATTACCTAAAATCAGTTTTGAAAGAAGTTATTCATGAACCTAACAAAGCACAAAGCTGCCCTCATCTCTTAGCTGTCAACGTCTCACTTCCCTCTTGGGCAAATATCAGACCAAAAGTCAGGTAGGCAGACAACTATTCTTGCTGAGATGCCTGACTCTCCTCAGTTGTGTGCTCCACACATTTCTGAAGTCTCTCCTTCCCTTCAAACCCCTTTGTCCAGTCTCCTGTCAGCACTGCTGTGTTATCTGGTGCTGCTGGTTAGGTGATATAGAAAGATCCCTGGAGTCGTGCTGCCTCTCCACTACACTGGTACTGCTTTTGCTCCCAGAGTCCCTCAGCACTCCACCTCCAAAGGGCTAGGGCAGTAAAGGATTGTTTTTCAGTGGCTGCTTCTCAAGCAAAGCCCAAGAGCAGCTGTGCTTCGTAACTGCTCCCCCTTCTTCAGAGATCCACAGAGCTCCCTCTTCTTATAGGCCTTCTTTACTGTCAGGAAATTCTAGTTCATCACTCATCATAGTTTGAAATTCATCTCCACTAATATTTGGATGATGCTTAAGTTTACTTCATATTGAAATTAAGTAAATTTACATCTTCTAGTGCACCTTCCACTTCTGGAGGGTGTTTACCCCCAAACCCCAGCCCCCCACAGACATAAGTTTTTTTCAGTGTCTCAGGCTCTTTGTATATTCTTTCTTGGTATTGGATGGCCAAACAGATATGGCACAGGTCTGTCTCTTCCTGGATAAGAAACTAAGTTTCAGCCTATTGTTTCTTATAATGCTCTTTAGATTCTTCATTAACACTGTGAGCTATACAAAGGACTGACACCAAAAACCCTGAAAAAGTTCCACTTGATGTGAACCGAAATACCCCCTTTGCTCAGTGGCACAATTTTGCTGTAAGCAATTCAAATATCCTACATTGTTCCCTGCCTCCCACTCCTACCAAATACCTTGTTTTTTTTCTTAGACTCTTCCAAGCCCTCTGTGACACTGGCCCAAACTAACAAGGAGTTTTTGTGAGCTCTTGTGACAAATGCACTTGACAAGAATAATAGATTTGTTAATCAACACGGAAGACTCATAACACTCATTAGCATGAGAAATATACAATATTAGCATGAAATAGATCTAAATTTCAGCAGCCACTTCTGAAAGAGATGATAGTGGCCTGAACTAAATGCAAAGCCCATTTTTTAACTTAGTCTTCTTCCAGTAATTTCTCGACAGTTATAGTAACAGCGATATAACAGTAATGAAAACAACTGTATTACTCCTACACAATAGCAGCACAATTAAGAGAAATGGTGGGTTTGTTGTTATATCTAGTGGTACTCAGATAGCATGGAAATGGGTGTAGCATAAGAGCTGAGGGACAGTAACTGTCCATGAAAATCAGGATTTGTTTTCTTGGCACTGACACATGCAGTTCACTCAGATCAATGCTTCACCTGAGCTGATCTAATTTCTGCACCTGCCTTCATGCCAGGAGAAGATAAAATACTCAGGGTTTTACCCCCACAGAGCCAATACATCCGTGACTATCTTCTGGTACATCAGCAGCACAATGGTCAGGACATACCAAGAGTCCCTAAGGTGCATGTAGTTTCTAATATTTATTGTCAAATTCTGTCTCAATACACTTTTATTTTTTCCTTTTCTTAAACTCCAACTTGGCCTTAAAGCAGTGACTGTCACTGTCACTGCAGAGAATGAAGTGTAGGGTGTGATTTTCAAAAACTGAGAAGAAGTTTAGGAATCTTGCCTGTAAAAGTGTCATTGGCACTTAGGTCCAGATAGTAAAAACAGATTTAATCCCAACTCATTTCAAAAGTTTTGTCTCAAGAAGCTGAAAACCTTCGAGGTCATGGGCACTTCTTGAGTACCCCTACTCTCCTCTCCTCCCCACTCCTCTCCTCTCCTCATTGCCATTTGATAATTACAGTTTTCTTTCTTATTAATACTTCTGTCTTTCACTGAGAAGCTGTATTACTGCTTTCTTCTATTACATGAAGTATACACTGTTGATTCTAAAATGATTATCTTGTGAATTTGCCTTTAGGCTACTCACATAGCCCTACATTATGATGACAAGATGGATGTAATTACTGGTTTGAGACAGAAGACCTTCTATGGAAGGCCAAACTGGGACAATGAGTTCAAGCAGCTAGCCGAAAAACATCCTAGGTAAGGAAGGTTGGCTTCTAACCTTGTTAGGTAACTTGTCTCTCAGCATAAACAGTGGGAGGAGGGGAGGGCAAACCTTTCTAAATGACCCTTTTAAAATAATTTAGTTTTTTTTAGCTGTGTGGAAAGAAGATTTATGCTTAATGAAGCTTTTAATGAAGAAATCTCGGAAAGAGAATGCCAATAAAATCTAATTTTTGGACAAGAAAATCTAATATTTAGAAGTATTTCAATATCCTGGCCTTTGTCCAGATATAATTGAAACACACAATCCAATTACTGTTCTGCACAAAGGACAAAGTAGCATTAATTTCCCTTGAAGATGGTTATTAAAGAGATAAACTGTGATTTTTTTCTTATGATGTCAAGGATATGTTTGTTCCCTGAACATATTTGGCTACTCTTGCAAGACTATGCTGTTCTGTTATTAGTTCATCTCTGCTGGCAAAGACAGTTCATTTGAACTTGGTGGATTCGCTAGTGGTCTGAGAAAAGCTTCTTTGTTCCTGAAAGTCTTTGAAGCAAGAATTTGAAATATTTTTGTGTTCAGCGGTAGAAAATTCCAGAATCTTTGGGACCCTTTATGATTTCCAAAGATTTACCTGCTAATGCAAAATAAAGGCTTGCACTTGGGAGACAGAGATACAAAAAGAAAAAAGAAGAAAACTTTTTTTTTAAAGATGAGAAAGCTGAAAAGGAGTAGATCAAAGAGAAAACAGTAAGCTACAAGAATACCATAAAATTACAAAAATAACAGTAATACAGAAACCACTTGATAGAGGTCAAAATAAATACAATAAGGAAATAAGGGAAGTTTAAAAATAGAAAGAGGCCAAGGGTAGAAAATATGATTTCTGAAAGACCTTTTATAGGGGTTCTACAGCAAAAACAGAGCTTTTTAAAGTTATAGCTGAAACATAATAATTTTGTTACTTTTTTAAGAACAGCTGAGAAAAGTATGGTTTTCTAATGCTCAGGGAAGGAGATGGGTATTAACTTTCTGTACTGGGTCTTGTGATATATCCTTAGAAAGCCAGTGCTCAAGCAACAGAAAAATCTGTATTTGCTTCTGAACCTAGATGCACATGTTGATGGTCAACTTTGAACCTGTTAAGGAAAACACTGCATGAAATATACACTACTTGTGCACACTGAATCAAAAAAACACCCTACCTTTTCTTGCTCTGAGTTACGGAAAGTTCAAGAGGTGAAGAAACTTGAGAGTTTCTACTGTAGGATGGAACAATCAGTTTGTATGAACTAACTAAATTTTAGGTTGCTGCATCGAGGTCCAACAAGTTTCCCATGGTGCAAGAGTGTCTTTTTGCGGATTAGCAGGAATATACCACTCAGGTGGAACCTGAGTGCAGTCAAGAACTAGAGCAGTATGGGGGGACTACAACTTTGGCACCAAAACCAGATCTACAGCCACAGCTTTACAGGAGCAAACTTTTTGAAACACACTGTCACTTGTCATTTACATTGTGCTTAAGCAGAATCAGCTTCCCCCAGTAGCACAGCAGGTGTGCATCTGTGTGCACCTATATACATGTATATACATGTATGTTTAAAAGAACGTGTGTACTTAAAAGCAAACTCTTTATAGCCCTTTGCAGCAAGAAAACAGGTTTCCAGTACCTTTTAACATACATGTGCACTTATGAACACAACTGTTGGTTACAATGGTCATGTTCTTGTTATTTATGAGAACTATTTACCTTATTTATTTATTTATTTATTTATTTTAAAAAAATTAGCCATCAGTATTAAAATTCAACAACAACAACAAAAATACTCAGAAACAAGTGAACATTTTATGCATTTTTTAGGGGAAAAAAAAAAAAAAAAAAAAAAAAAAACATTTATTCATCTGGAAAAAAGCACTGAACGTTTTCAGCCCAAGCAGTGTGTTTGTTTCTCTGAATTAAAAAAAAAAAAACAAAAACAAAAACAAACAAACAAAAAAAAACACGACAATCAAAAACAAAGAACTACAATTCAAAATAATTTGTGACCTCTAATATAGCAATCCAAATAAATAAAGCAATATGACATAATAAACACTGAAGTATTAAAATAATTATACTGTAATACTTTGTGACAGTAACACAAAACTTTTCAAATGTATTTCTCAAAAAGCCATTTCAAAAGATACAAACAAATCTGGAGGCTGTCAAAAAGTGCAGTTTATCTATTTATTCTGCTGCTTTTATGTTTTTTGTTGTTATTGTGATTACAGCAACAGTATTGGAGTATTCTTCTGTGGACCCAAGACTCTCTCTAAGATCCTTCAAAAGATGTGCAGCTCCTATTCATCAGTTGATCCAAGAGGAGCTCAGTTTCACTACAATGAAGAAAGTTTCTAGGCTGTACCTCTCAATTCTGTAATAGGTATTACCAAGTTGTGCATTTTTCCTCACCTTCTCCTGTCCTCTTCCCATTCTGCAGCATTCAGTCCAGATGTTGAGAACTGTAAATTGAAGCAGCTGCACTGACTTCAGCAGGAAAATGCCAACTAAAGTTTTGGACCCTAGCCTAAACTAAAGTTTTGGGTCCTTAGCCTTTCCTTCAAAGAACTTAAGGGCTGATTCTTCATTGCTTAGTCAATGATGCTGTGAATCCAAGCACACCTCTGTGAAAACAAATACAAATCACTACGCTTTATAAATCACATTCAAATCACTAAACTTTAAAGAAAAAGGTGCAAGAAAAATGGCCATTTAGATCTGTATGTTGCTATTGTGTATGATCAAACTACTACTGCAGGCAATACTATCATTCCTGCTGTTTAAATCATGCCCAGTCATTCAAAGCATTTTCCTTCCTGGTGTTCTGATCTTGCACTTCTAGTCTCCTACTGAGCCACATCTACATTGTCTTTTGTGCCATAGAAATAGTGTTTAAATATGCACTTCCTAACAAATTCCTTTTGACCTACCAAAGCAGGCACCATTTAAACCTGTCATTTCTGCAGTGATACTGGTGGTGCATGCAATAATATAATATTTTCTGAAGGTTAAGTAGACTCCAGAAATTTTTGTTGTCAGCAAATGGATCTCCTGAGACAGGCAGCTGAAACTGAGGGAATAAGTAACAGGTGTCTTTTAAATGCCACACTGCTTCACGGGCATTGAAGAACAGGCTTTAAAATATACAGGTTCAAAGATTCAGAGATATCACAGGGTGGCTGAGGTGGGAAGGGACCTCTGGAGGTTTTGGGTCATGTATCCCTTCTTCCACGTCTTCTGCACTTCTTTTGTTTTGTTTTGTTTTTCTTTATGAGAGCCTTGTTCATCCATGCAGGCCTCCTACCACCTTTGTTGGACATCCTCCACAGCCAGATGGATCATTTTTGAGCTTGGAGGAGGTGATTCTCAAAAATCATCCAATTATATGGATTTCTCTTTTCTTCAGGACCTTACATGGGATCCTTCCAAGCAGGTCCCTACCAGAGTCTACTCTCCTGAAGCTTAGAGTTGTGATTTGCCTTGTATCTCTCTCTCTCTGGATCCTGAACTCCACCATCTCATGGTCACTGCAGTCAAGGCTGCCATGAACCTTTACATACTTGACCTGGTTTGTAAGTGTGAGCTCCAGCAGATTGCCTGCCTTAATTAGATCCTCAAACACCTTCATAAGTAAGCCATCATCACTGTGCTCCAGAAATCACATGAATTGCTTGGTCCCTGTCATGTCCCTCCAGCAGATATCAGTGTGGTTCAAGTTCCCTATGAGGACCAAAACATGTGAACATGAGACTTCTATTTGCCTGAAGAAGGTCTCATCTGCTTCTTCTTTATTAGGTAGTTTGTAGCAGATGCCCACCACAACATAACCCACATTGGTCTGCCCACAAATCTTGACCAGCTCTCAGCTGGCTTCTCAACCATCCCTAGGCTGAGCTCCATGCATTCCTGCTGCTCTCTCACGTACAGGACAGCTGCCCTCCTCAGCATCCCAGCCTGTCCTTCCTAAAGAGCCTGTAGCCATCCACTGCTGCTCTACAATCAAGTGAATTGTCCCACCATGTTCCTATATTCCCAATGAGATCACAGCCCTTCAATGGTATGCAAACCTCTAATTCTTCCTCTGTCCCCTCTATGCCATGTGTGTTAGTGTACAGCACTTTAGAGAGGCATCTTGTCATGTGGGTTTTCCAGAGAAGGTATGAGAACTTCCTTCACCATGTTGTCCTGCAGACACTTGCTTGTTTGCGTGCATATTCTTGCAGTGGGCCTCCTTCTGCCCTGTTTTGCTGATTACAGCACCTCTCCTGTTCACATCATCCTGCACACTTGGACAACTGTGTTTCCTCACTTGGTCATCGGCCAACCACTCCCTACCATTGTTCCTAGTCTAAAATTCTCCTCACAGGCTGGCCAGCATATGGGCCTTTGCCCACTGCAGGCAGATCCCATGTTTTCCTAGGAGTCCTCGATCCTCGAAGGGGGATCGGTCGTGTAAGCCACCTCCCTGTTGTCAACACCAGCTGCACAAACAGATACCGACTTTCAGGATCCATCCCCAAGTTCTGCATCACATCGAAAAGCCTTTTGGTTGGTTGGTTATTCAACAAAGTCTGCAGATGGGGGAGGAACTGTATTTGCATGCCATTTCATCACATGCCAAGCCTTGAGAATGGTGCATCTGAAATGCACCCATACCTATATCACTGCCTAGTGTTTTTAGTGTTCTTATTTGCATTTCTCCTGTTTCAGTTTGTCTTGTAACTGATCCAGCCTTTCCTCACAGGTCACAGACTGTTACCCAGAACCGATTTTGTTCTCTGTTATGCTGAGAGGTAGTTATGAAACAATAAGTCATTTTTAATCTCTGCGGACCTTCTGAGGTGGCTGCTAGGAGTCCAGACATACAGTTCAGGCCAGCTACTGAGCTGTCTGACAACCATGTGGCAAAGAAACTAGCCAGGGGCCAGCAGTCCCTGGAGTCACATCTTCTAATGTGGTGGGACTAGTGTAAAATTTTGCATGCCACAGTATGGTGCTGTCGCCAAGAGACAACTGTCTCCAGCTAGTTAGGTTAGCCAGCCTTGAGGCACATTGTGTGTCAAAGTGATGAAACTATGGCCTTCGGAAGACCCCAGTCTTTACTCCCACCTTCTAATGTCTCTTATTGGCACAACAGCTGCTATTGTGTAGTTCCTGTCCTCCAAAAGAGGTGCTTCCCTCGCAGCTTTGCATTGCTCATCCTCCAAGTCTACCTGAATGTATCATTACTGCCTTTCAAGACCTGATGTTGTCTTGCACCTTCAAGTACTATTTGTACTTATCTTTGTGACTTCAGCACTGTTGAGTATGTGGAACATCAGATAGCTTTAGAAGGATAGGGGGAAACAAAATAAAAAATGTGGGACTCATGTAAGCTAGAAAACCATGGAAAATATTTCCTTACTTTGCTCCCCCAGCACAGAAAGTTAAAGAAAATCTCCACCCAAATTGGCCTGAGGTGTAGTGAAGTTCACTGGGATCACATAATGCATTTACTCAGCGACACAATAAAGGTGGGAGGTAGAAAACATCCTGTGTATATCTTGAATAAGATGAATGACAACATTATATATGTACACTTATACATATACGCACGGGAAATGCCCACTAGAGGTGACATAGCTTTATAGACAAAAGAAACAATAATAAAAATTATGTCACAGAGGACTACAAGATTATTTTATATCTTTTCTATTGGAGGTTAATGGTATGTGTGAACTGAGCTTGATCTACAAGATACGGTTGTATTATTATTAAGTTTAGGGCAATGCATCTTTATTTTAAAATTGTTGAAGTTTTCTTAAACGCCTGCCTGTGTGAAATGATTAATGTGGTGCATACTGTGTAGCAGTAGAGTGAGTGGAGAATTAGAGCCTCTGCCAGTTCACCTAGAGGCATTTATCTTTTATTTTTTCCCTGGTGCCCGTGCTGAGCCTCAGGGTAAGCTGACACATTTTTTAATATAAATTAAGCTTCTTTTTTTTATGTGCGTTGAAAATCTTGAAGGAAATGAGAAATGTGTGTAGGCACCAATACCAGCTGCCATTGCATGAAAGAAAGAGGTGACAATTTCCTGCAGATTCTGAATGATTGTTTTAATGGGGTTGGATCGGAGGTAACAAGCACAAAGATATTGTGCTGCCAGAAAAACAGGATCTGTTCTCCCCCTAGCCTCATGCAACAAGATGTAACATTTAGCTTCTGGCTCAACATGGCATCTCTTCACTGCTTTGATTTATTCCCACTTTTGCAAATCACTGTGGTATGCTACAGGAGATGCATTTAGAGCCCTTGTTATAGTTCATTGAGTAGCACTGCTGTTATCGCCACCAGAGGAGAATTTCACATGTATCAGGACTGAGTGACCTAGAATAAAAGAAAAATAATAATAATAATAATAAAAAAGAAGTGGGAAGGTTTGTTGGACTAGGATGAAACTGCATTTAGGTTGAATGAAAATCCCTTTATTACAAATACAATTTAAATCAAAATGGAAACTAAGAAGATTTGGCTTCCTGCCTTGTTTTGAATAACACTGAGCACACAGCAGCTATGATAATGTGAGTGCATATGTAATGACTCTATTATTATGTTTATATATGGAAACATCATTCACTGTCATGGAAAATGAAACATATCTTCATGGATTTGTCCGTTCAGCTTCTTCAGCAGGAAGTGTTCAGCACTGTGTAGGAAAATAGTAGTAAATAAAATATAGTCATAACAACACAAGCTGATCACATCCTGTGACAGAAAACTAATCATAGACAAGGATCATAAATACACAGATCAATTATTTTGGCTCTAACAATAAAAATAATGGTATTACAATAAGAGTTGTGTTATGATAATTTAAGCTTGATCACTAGTAAGCATAAGTTGAAATATATTTTTTATGTTTTGGGCTCTCCTCCTTTCTCCCTCCTTCAAAGTTACACATGTAGTAGAAATTATTTAAGCAAGTGTGTGTCTTAGGTTAAACAGGAACCACCACTTTTAACAGGATGTCTGTCATATGGGACATGTACCATACCATTACAAAGATCTCCTGCTTCTTTCCTGCTTTCAGATGTAATAAAAGGGTTCAGAGGAAATGTTAACTGCAAAAAAAGTGCAAAACTTTTCAAATGTTTGAGTATTTCTGATTAGCAGGAGATCTTATGAGAACTGCCTTAAAGGCAGCTCAGCCACTCTGGAAAAGTAATAAACTTAAATGACATGGTAGCTTTATAATCCCAGCAGGTCAACAATTTCAGTGATTTATTTATTTATTTATTTATATTTTTGAGGGGGAATCACCTGAATTCCTTCAGGAACAGTGAAAAGGCAAAGAAAAATGTGACACTGCTTCCACGCAGCTCGCCCTATGAGTACCAAAAGCTAAAATAAAATGTGCATTTGGGGAATGCAAACCCATGGTGGTCAAAGCTGTATAGCAGGAGATAGCCCAGAAGGTGCATGACCACGTGCAGCAAAGGCTAATTGTCCCCAGGTCATTCTCTCTTCTCTTGACACTTGTTAGACAAATGCCAGGCACAAATCTGCCTTGGTCATGGGAGACAAGACCTCACAGGTGGAGGGCAATCTACCAGGGACCTGCCTAAACCTTCAGAGTGCTGAAAACTGTCTGAGCTGAGGCTTTCTTCCATCAGTCAGGGTATCTGTTCTATAGCAGCAATTCCATCTCCTTCTGTCTGATCATTTAATTGTCTGAGAAATTCTGCACTTCTACATCTGTGAAATAAAATCAGGTGTCCATTACATTAAAGCTGCAGACAGGAACAGAAACATATCCCAGGAATGCCTTCTTACATGTTGCTGAACGTGTTCAAACAAGAGCGAACTGATGACCTGTGCTTTGAAACTCTAGCCAGATAGTCCATTTAACATGAGTCTTCTTGACCTTCAACAAATCTTGTCTTACAGTGGAAAAAGAAAAAAAAAAACAAACTCATTTGCACAATGGTTTTAATGTATGTGAACAAATGTGTTAATTGACATGGAAACATACCTTTTCTCCTATCAAAAGCAAGGAAGGACTAAAAGGCTTAAGCATTACTATCCTTTCAGAATACATAGAAACAAACAAAAGTTGTATAGTATAATGAACCACTCAAACAAGCATATTTCAAAGGCCAGCTGCTTCAAATATTTGCAACTATTATTTCTAAACAATAATGACTTCTAACATGGTAAGACATTTATATTCATTGAGGATAAAAGCCCTGAGCCTGCCAATACTTACACATGTGCTCTACTAACTTCAAACAATCTTTTTACTGTCCTAGAGGACTAAATATGGTTCCCTTTGAAGCTCATGCATAGAAGACTGATGTCAGGCTGAAGGTTGGGTCCGGAAGGCTGATCTGTATTATTCAGCTATTAAACTACTGGACTGTCTTGATTCTTGGGTAGAGATTGTTTCTCTGGTGCAGTAATTCTGAATATGAAAGACAATTTACAATCATGTTTGCCTTAAGGTACACAGATAAGATTGCATTTATGCACTTTAATAAAAGACCTGGTTTTCAGTGGTCTTGTAGCTTCTTGTAAGTAAAAAATGTGGCTGTTCAGAGAGTTTTCCTCTTTTTTTTTCTGTTTTTTTTTTTTTTTTTTTTTTTTTTTTTTTTTCCTCCCTTTCAAATGATGAATAACTAAATCTGAACATTTTATTCTCTGGAAATACAAAAATAAGTAGGACTGAGGGAAGATACAAGTCTGTCCTCTGAAACAGCATTCCTGGTCTCCAGTCTACGTCTGACCATTCCCCAGCAATGCTGCACTGAATTTTAAATCTCAATGACTTGTGCCCCAGCTTCTCTACATAAAATCTTTCCTTCTGCTGCTGTCCAAGGCTGCAAAAACCCACACAGAAATCATTACTGTCAAAAGCTGAACTAAGTGGAACTTTGTGAACAAAAATAAAGAAGCATGCATAAACCTAAATTAACACACATTAGTTGTGGAAAGTATGCACATAAGAAATTTGCAGAAACCTGTGTACTTCAGATCTCACAGGGACTAATGTTCACTATTCCCTTGTACTGTAACAGGTACAATGGACATGTATTTATTCTTGGGTTTCCAGGAATTGATCAAAGTTTAAAAAATGAAAGAAAAGCTTGAATTCTAAAGGTCACAGGAACCTGATCATCCCGCAACACTGAACACTCATTAATTACATGTTACTATACAATTACATTACATTTAGATTCAATGTTTAGATTGAGGAATGCCTACCATTTACGTGTTAATAAAATAACGATGCTGTTTTCTGAGTTTGTATGCTGCTGAGGGGGCTATACAGAGGGCTATGCAGGACACATATCAATGCAGAGCTACCCATTTAAGATCACTCTTTTTTAGATTCCTTACCATGCAGGCAAGAGGAAGATAGTTAAGAGGCACAGTCGGACAATTTTGAATGTAATATCAAAGGTCTGAGGATGAAACAAACAACGTATGCTCTGGTACTGGTCAACATAGAAGTTACTTTAAATATAAACATGTGGAGAACAGGAAGATATGACTGAACTGGTCTTTGGGTAACACAAACATGTCCAAGTACAATTTCTGAGACAGGAATATGCATCGCTTGCTTTATTATTTAATGGAAGCTGTGGTTGTCATTACAAAGATGTATCTATAGTACAAGACATCAAGCATAATCACAAACACTGGCCACCCTATGCATATTGCAGCAAATACCTCATCCTTTTATAACATTGTGCATTCACAAAGGAGCCTGAAACACTTTAAAAATAGCCCAGTGCTGGGAGGTGCTGAGTTGTAAGAGGTTTTAGTAAAACCAAAAGAAATTGTAACTGCTTGGCATTCTGCAGAACCAGACCTTTGCAGTCCAGTCAATGAAATTAACTGGAGTTTTGCCAGAAATAGGACAGTATAATTTGGCTCAGATAGTCAATGCCAATGCAAAATTATATATTACCAATATCGAATGCTGAACTTAAAAAAAAAAAAAAAAATTACTTCATATGGTCTGCTTTGTTTATAGTTACATAGCCAATGCTTTACTACATGCTGATTGTCTTATTACTATAGGTATAGATAGCCATCAATAATGAAGTCCATAAGTGGGAAGACATCTCTTTGGGGAAGCATGCAATTATATCCAGACGTTACTGTTACTACACTAGGCTCCAGTTCAGCAAAGCATTTGTGCTTATGCTTAATTAAAGGCATACAAGATGGGTTCTGTGTTTCAAGGTTAGCACATGCTCAAGGCTTCGTCCATATCTTGAGTTTTCTTCAAGTGAGACCCCAAATGCCTCCATGTGGCAGTGCTTTCAAAATAAAAGACTCTTCTCACTGGGTTACTGAAGAAACTGTGAATCTCCTGGCTTTTTTTTCTCCACATAAATCATATCATTAAGGACAGGCATGAAATTGGTTGTCCTCTTTTCTGGAGATCCAGTAGGACCAACCTCAATTTTTAGATTTGCATTTTCCTGTAATAACTGGTTGTAACCCTAAAGAAAAAGGATTCAAGCAGCCATGCTGTCTGTCTGCTCTGCCTATTGGTTCCATTTCCAGCCTCTCTCTTCGTCAGCAAATATTGCTTAATTTTCCAACCAATTTCAACCAAGATTTAAGGTATATAATATTAATCTGAACTCTTATATAGTCTGTATAACCAAAATGGTCTGAATAACTCAAAAGCTTGACAAGTGAGCAATGCCACTGAGCAGTCAATGAAACAAAGTGTCTGAACACTCCTGCCTGAGAAGCTGCACACCTCAGAGCATTCCAAGCTCACAGCATAGTGCTGAACTATGGAAATTAGTGACGCTAAAGAAGAAACTGAAGCTTTACCAGACAATGTCCCATCACACTCAGTAAAATATTGCAGCAAAAGAGATAATTGTTTCTTTGTACATAGGAGGAATGAGACTAGTATTGGTATATTGCAAATTGTTCTGTTGTACATCTTAGAATGTTAAGAAATGAGGGTACAGGAAAAAGCCACAGACATACTCGAGGACTTCAGAAAATACGTTGCAATTAAAGGGCTCAATCAGTTTAGCATATGAAAACTTAGATTAAGAGATGAATCTATAACAGTGTGCAAGCACCTTCATGCAGAGAAAAGCTAGGCACCAGCAGGCTCTTTAATCTAGCAAAATGAGCAATTTCATATAGAAAATAATGTGGTTACTTTTAATAGACAAGCAGTATAGCTACTAGAAAGACACTTGTCATAGAACCTGGTAAAACTTCTATCTCTTGTCATCCCATCAAGCCTGGGTGCAACTCTAGAAGATCCAGAAGATCCAGTACATATCCATACTGAACAGATACTAGTTAGGCTCAGTTAAGTGGATGTATTGCTGCAACTGAGTAACAAGGTGCCAATAATTGACTGCTGCTGCATAAGCATCAAAGGAAAAAGGTGCAGTGGTCCTTTTAGTGTTCAAAATGCTCTGAATGTATGTTTTCTCACAATATCCTTGTCAGGTGGAAAATTTAGAACTTCCAGTCTTAGATGGGGGACTGAGACATGGAAATGCTAAGACATTTCCCTCAACTCTCAAAAAAATGGCAGAACAAGGAAAAAAAAAAAAAAACACAACCTTCCAGGACCAAGACTTGAACTGCTACAGCAACCTTCTTCTCCTATAAACTCCATTTTGTGTATTTGACATGGCCCTTAAAAATATCTGAGAGTGAGCTTTCTGAATGACCATGAAACAGAAATGAATGGTTTTCTTAACTAAAAGCAATCATTAACATTGCTATTAGACAGTACGACTTGAAAGGCAAACATTTTGATTCCCATGAATTGGATGATACATGCTTGCTTGCTCTAAGAATTGAATGCATGATATAAAGAATTTACATGAGAAGTAGGTCCTCTGACATAGAGTGAGTGATTTCTGTGATTAAATAGGAGATTTAAAAATAAATAAATCAAAAAAGTATCAAAAAAGAAACAAGATTTAGGGTTTTCTACTAAGAAATAGTGTCCAAATATCTTTGTACAGGTTTTGATACTGGACTCAAGCCTGATTGTACTTCAAGCAAAGAACACAAGAAAATGCCTGTTGCCTCACATAGTAAGGGGATCCAACTAAACACCATACAGCACAGCATGGCACAGTAATGGGCTGTCAGGAAGGCCAAGGTTTCATTTTCAAGTACAATAGATCAGAAAATTTTAAAGCTCCTCTTTAAATATTTCATGTGAAGAACAAACAAT